TATAAGAGAAAACTTAGAATGCAAAAGATACTAACGTAACAATCGATTATAAGAGAAAACTGAGAATGCACGAGATACTAACGTAACAATCGATTATAAGAGAAAACTTAGAATGCACGAGATACTAACGTAACAATCGATTATAAGAGAAAACTTAGAATGCACAAGATACTAACGTAACAATCGATTATAAGAGAAAACTTAGAATGCACGAGATACTAACGTAACAATCGATTATAAGAGAAAACTTAGAATGCACAAGATACTAACGTAACAATCGATTATAAGAGAAAACTTAGAATGCACGAGATACTAACGTAACAATCGATTATAAGAGAAAACTGAGAATGCACGAGATACTAACGTAACAATCGATTATAAGAGAAAACTTAGAATGCACGAGATACTAACGTAACAATCGATTATAAGAGAAAACTTAGAACTGATGCGGGAGACACTAACGTAACAATCGATTATAAGAGAAAACTTAGAATGCAAAAGATACTAACGTAACAATCGATTATAAGAGAAAACTGAGAATGCACGAGATACTAACGTAACAATCGATTATAAGAGAAAACTTAGAATGCACGAGATACTAACGTAACAATCGATTATAAGAGAAAACTGAGAATGCACGAGATACTAACGTAACAATCGATTATAAGAGAAAACTTAGAATGCACAAGATACTAACGTAACAATCGATTATAAGAGAAAACTTAGAATGCACGAGATACTAACGTAACAATCGATTATAAGAGAAAACTTAGAATGCACGAGATACTAACGTAACAATCGATTATAAGAGAAAACTTAGAATGCACAAGATACTAACGTAACAATCGATTATAGGAGAAAACCTAGCATGCACGAGATACTAACGTAACAATCGATTATAAGAGAAAACTGAGAAAGCACGAGATACTAACGTAACAATCGATTATAAGAGAAAACTTAGAATGCACGAGATACTAACGTAACAATCGATTATAAGAGAAAACTTAGAATGCACAAGATACTAACGTAACAATCGATTATAGGAGAAAACCTAGCATGCACGAGATACTAACGTAACAATCGATTATAAGAGAAAACTGAGAAAGCACGAGATACTAACGTAACAATCGATTATAAGAGAAAACTTAGAATGCACGAGATACTAACGTAACAATCGATTATAAGAGAAAACTTAGAATGCACGAGATACTAACGTAACAATCGATTATAAGAGAAAACTGAGAATGCACGAGATACTAACGTAACAATCGATTATAAGAGAAAACTAAGAATGTACGAGATACTAACGTAACAATCGATTGTAAGAGAAAACTGAGAATGCACAAGATACTAACGTAACAGTTGATTATAAGAGAAAACTATGAATGCGCGAGATACTAAGTAACGGAACAATCTATTATAAAAGAAAACTTAGAATGCGCGACATACTAACAATCGATTATCAGAGAAAACTTAGAATGCGCGAGATACTAACGTAACTGTTGATTATGAGAGAAAACTCAAAATGCACGAGACACTGACGTAAGAATCGATTACAAGATTGAGGAAACATACCCAAGCTCTGTGAAAACCAAAACAGTACTACGATATATGCGCGATATTTGCTTTTAGTAATAATTGATTATCTTCAATATAACATATTTGTGTCTCCCATGCGAGGTGTCCAGTCCATTTGAAATCGATATGAACATTCTTCTGCAATGTGAATTTTCTGTACACGAGTATGTAAATAAAGCTAGTGGCTACATTAATCAAACTCTCACAAAACAGCCAGAAATGTAGGATATGTTAAAAGCCACAAATATTTTTCTTAGAAAGTATGTTCATTTTCTAAGTTTTTATTTGATCTCTAAGCCTGGTGAAGTTGACAAAAAAATTAAATATTTACCTTTAGCATTTTGTCCATGCCTTTTAGTTCGCTGGTCTTCAAGTTCGCTTGTTTTCCAACGTCATCTACTGACCAGTCTTATCTCAGATCTAGGGTTGTCCACTGTCCATGAAAAGGTGTCCACAGGCCACCTACCGAGGCATGTCCTAGGGGCATCCTTCCAAGGCTTGTCCACAGGCCCCCTTCCAAGGCTTGTCCACAGTCCACAGTCCACAGTCCACAGACCACCTACCAGGGTTTGTTCAGGCCACCTACCAAGGCTTGTCCACAAGCCGCCTTCCAAGGCATGTCTACAGGCCACCTTCCCAAGCTTGTCCGCAGACCACTAGCCACCTACCAAGACTTGTCCACAGGCCACCTTGGGCAACGATTGCCCAAAGGCTATGTACCAAGGATTGCCACAGGTCACCTAGGAAGGCTTGTCCACGACAGGTCACCTTCCAAGGCTTGTCTGCCACAGTTCATCTAAGAAGGCTTGTCTGCTGCATGCTACCCTCTAAGGCTTGTTCACCACAGGTCACCTTCCATGGCTTGCCCACAGGCCAGCACCCTGTAAACATAACAGCATGGAGATTAAGCATATTGATGTATAGTAGTTACAAATAGATATTTATACTGTCATGAAAAGATTTCTGTTCACAAAGTTTCCATTTTTTCAGAATTGAAATGGAAGGATGTAAAATGGCTTATTTCCATGCTCCAGTCACTGGACTGAAAAAATCAATATTCAAAATATTTTCTCCCAGTTATCCTCAAAAATGGTTTTAGTGGCTTCTTTTTTTCCACATGCCGTTACCTTTTGACCCTTAAAAGTGACCAGCATCTAATTTCTCCTTACAATATTATCCCTGAATAACATGTTAAGGTCACAAGAAAATAGATAATGGTCACCAACTTAAGAAGCTCTTGATTGTTGAACAAATTCTCCTTTCAACAACTTAGGAACTTTATAAAAAACAGTATGGAGAATATGCATATTGATGTTAGGATGTAAAGGGTTAAAGGTTTTTTTTTCTTTGTAAATATGTCCTTTTACAAATGGGGTTAAAGTTTTGAAGTAAAAACAAAATTAAGAAAAAGCCTGCCAATTTATTTTCAGCTAGGGTATCGAGGCTCTTAACATGAAGGCTAGCCATTGTCCCTTTTGCTGATAAGACTCAAATTATCTTAACATCTTGTTCTTGCTCACTAACAGTAATTAATCCTTGTCCCACAGCTGGTAGAAGGGAAAATATTAAAAAGCAAAGAGGGACCATGTGAGACCACGGAAAAATGCATTCCTTAGGCCATCCCCCTCCCCCCCTACCATCAGGAAATTCATTACCCTCCATCTGGAATTTTCAATCCCTTACGGGGGTGGGGGCTTGGAACAATTTAAGCCCAAGACAAAATATTCAATTTAAGATGTTAGAGATTATACTATTTTCACTCCTTTGAGTACTTTTTCATATCTTAGGTCATGCAGTGATAAAAATTTCAAGTTATTGCATTATATCATCAATTGCAAACTCAGTTCGTATAAGTGACAATGCTTTGAAGAATTATTGAAAAGGTAAGCGCTCGTGCTCAGAATGCAAAATATTTAAGTCTCTTGTTAAATACTAGGAACTATGCCTACAGAATTGCAACAATCTGTCAATCAGGCAGTTTTCAGGTTTATTATCCTCACCTCAGTTACCTCTGATAGTTGACCTGAATGTCACATGTGTTTTCCATTTCGGAGTTTTCTAGCCGCTGTACCGTAGTTTTCTCCCTTCAAACTCCAGAGAACGAGAGAAAATTTGAACTAGAAAGCAAATAATACTTAAAGTCTCATTTTTGCACCTGTTTTGGAACCAAAATAAGCGATTCCGTCGATCACTTACTAAAATAATTGCGCCGCCATGATGAATTTACTCTTAAAACTAGTTACCAGTGTACTTCGTTCGGAAAAACACCCGCGTCACGCTTCACGCGAAATTGCGCGGTTAAACGCGTTTCGTGTTCAAGAATTCATCTTTTATCTGCGATGACTTGGAATCGTTGTTTTCTTTCGTTCAAAGAGGATTTAAGGCTTTTTACCTTACTCACGAACTGGAGAAGCTTACTAAGCTGGTGGTATGGGGTGAGCTAAAATGCAATGAGCGGCAAAACCGCGAAAATTGAGTGATGAAGTCGCGAACAGGAAAGTGTATTCCATCCCCGTGCTTCTCATGGCTCCGCCATTCGCGGCTTGAAAACCGCGATTGAGAAAAGCTAGTATCAGGGACACTATATTCACCTTAACAGTCATTTTTTGGGAGTTCTCTGTGGTAGAGGAGGGCGTTACGTGACGTCTCAAAGGAACGATTGCGAAGGAGACTGAAAGCACACAAACTGGAAACCTACCGCAAGACATCTTCTGCATTAATTGAAAGCTTCTAAACGTATAGAATTATTGTGTTTTAATTTGACAACGCGCAGCCCTCCTTGGTTCGGCCTGTTTACCTCTCATTTGTATGACACACACGCTCTCTTTTATTAGTCACGCAAGAAAGAAGTTCCTTTCTGCGTAGAAATCATTGACAGTTTACTCATAAAAGGGAAAGTTTTAAATTGAAAACAGGCCCTTCCTGACAGCGCGCAGGGGTCTCTACAGTCAACACATAGGTACTGGTGTAGCTTTAAGGTTTTGCGTGCTCTTTGAGCTTCAACGGTAATCGAAAAAAAACAGCATAGCTTGCGCGGAATTTAGAAATCCGAAAAAAGGCATTACTTAATTTGACACGCAGAAAATAAAGTTATCGGGAAACTTAGGTTTTTTTTTTAATGTCGATACAAATCATTTTGGGATATATGAAGACTATGAAGATAATTGTGGGCACAGCAATCGTGCTATAGAGAAGTATGGCCGATATAAATCGATCGAGCGCAAATTTGATTGTTAGCATCATGCTGAAACAAATTTGCGCTCGATCGATATGATATTTTGCGCAAGGGCGAATGGCGCCAACAGATGAAGAGATAGAAGCAATAAACCGAACACAGTTGAAAACTGTGTTGATCATTGACTTTAGTATCATGTGGTGGCTCCTAAAAGAGCCGTTTGTTTTGGCGGAAAACCCACAAAGTGAGTTTACTTGCTGCTGGTGTACTTGGTTACGGCCTTAGTTCCTTCACTCACGGCGTGTTTAGCCAGTTCACCGGGCAAAAGCAGCCTGATAGCAGTCTGGATCTCGCGAGAGCTGATGGTCGACTTTTTGTTGTAGTGGGCAAGGCGAGAAGATTCCGTGGCGATGCGCTCGAAGATGTCGTTGACGAACGAGTTCATGATGCCCATGGCTTTGCTGGAGATACCAGTGTCAGGGTGAACTTGCTTCAACACCTTGTAGATGTAGATAGCATAGCTTTCCCTTCTCTTTCCTCTCCTCTTCTTCTTTCCATCAGCAATGGCTTTAGCCTTTCCGGCTTTTTTCTCGCCTTTCTTTCCTGCAACTTTGGCTGGCATCTTGGTAAATCACAAAGATGAATAAGTTTACAGCGCAACTCGTCTTGTATTTATAACAGAATTGTAAGAGGATCTATTACCATACGGATCGAAATTCTCGATAAATGATTGGCTAATTTCTATGCTGACCCTGGGGTCAATTAGTATTGTCATTCTTTCTATGCCGGTATTAAGAAATTTTAAAAACCACAACATGCTTAAAATTGATTGGTGCTTTTCGATCCATCTTGCATAACAAACGAACCATAAATCACAGGATTATGTGTAATTCCATCATTTTCGGTGAAATCATATCATAGCTAACATGTCTGGTCGCGGTAAAGGTAAAGCTAAAGGCACCAAGTCCAAGAGCCGCTCATCACGAGCAGGGCTTCAATTTCCTGTAGGTCGAATCCACCGTCTTCTCCGCAAAGGCAATTACGCTGAGCGAGTTGGTGCCGGTGCTCCAGTGTACTTGGCTGCTGTGCTTGAATATTTGAGCGCTGAGATTCTTGAGTTGGCGGGCAACGCTGCTCGTGACAACAAGAAGACAAGAATCATTCCCCGTCACCTTCAGCTGGCTGTGCGCAATGACGAAGAGTTGAACAAACTGCTGGCTGGTGTCACCATTGCACAAGGAGGCGTTCTTCCTAACATCCAGGCTGTGCTTCTGCCCAAGAAGACCGAGAAAAAACCTAAGGCTTAAATCAACTTCAACCTTAAAAAACGGCTCTTTTAGGAGCCACCACATAATACAAAAGTCTTGACCAACGAGACAAGTCGCTAACCTATTCAACAACAACAACAAAATCAAATATAATATCACTTCGATACTTTTCCGCGCTAGTTTCCACCAACGGGCTGATATTTTTAGAGCCCTTAAATTTGGATGAGGGAAAAATCAAGTTTTTTACAGGGTTCATTTAAATGTACGCTTAAAAGATCAGAGAAATTTTTCATATAAATATATAAAAAGGAAATCAGGGTTAGGAATTTCATTGCCTCGAACGATTTCGGCTCCCGCACCTCAATCATTAGCGGGCTCAAAAGTCGCGCCATTTTCAGTGTTACAAAATATACAATAAAAATTTTTTGGAAGCTTAAAAGATCCACTGATTTTATATGATTTTCTCTTTAGAAGGAAAGAAGAAGCGCAACCTTTAAAAAATATCTGTCTCTGAGTGATTTGACAAAGAACGCGAAAATGGGGGGATTGTTTGCGCGCTAAATATTTCAGCCGTGACCCGCGAGTATTTGAAAAAAGTAACGCACTTCCAAGAGGAGAATCGATCTATGGCTCTAACAAAAGCCAAATAGGGATGGTACAAGAGAAGTATTGGAGTTTTTTTCCAAATTATCAAAGAGCGAGATATATATGCGATTTAATTCGCGTCATAAATGTAAACACTTAATTGATCATGACTTTCTCTATATTTGGTGGCTCCTAAAGGAGCCGTTTGTTTTGTGTCAGGAGGTTATGTCTAACCGCCAAAGCCGTACAAAGTGCGGCCTTGTCTCTTCAGAGCGTACACCACATCCATGGCTGTCACAGTCTTCCTCTTGGCGTGCTCGGTGTATGTCACAGCATCACGGATCACGTTCTCAAGGAAAACTTTAAGGACACCACGGGTCTCTTCGTAGATCAGACCAGAGATTCGCTTGACACCGCCTCGGCGAGCAAGACGACGAATGGCTGGCTTGGTGATACCTTGGATGTTATCACGAAGGATTTTTCGGTGACGCTTGGCGCCTCCTTTTCCGAGACCTTTACCTCCTTTGCCACGACCAGACATGTTGATTATCACTCGTGTGTTTGAGTTATGGCAATTGGACGAACGTTATTAGTTTTTATACAGAAAGATGAGACCTCTTAGAAAACAGAATAAAAGTAAAGGTTGCTATTGGCTGAGTCAAATATCTAAGTATAATTATCACTGTAATATTAACATGTATTAACATAAATCAGACGGTATTCCCGCGCGCGTATGTTTTCAATAAAAGACAACTCTGTTCCATCCAAATGTTACTTGTGAACTTCGCTGAGAATTGGTTTTTCTCTCCAGTTATGTTATATGTTAAATTTTAAGTGACGATAATACTTAGCTTATTCCTAAACGACCTTTCATGCTACTTCGGATCGAAATAACGTTGGAGATCCGTGAAATTATTCACTGCTTTCGTGTCTAACCAATCAAATCTCTTTATTTTGAGCCAATCACAAGTAAGCCCGCCAGGTATAAATCAATATCCAGATCCAATATTCATAAATCGGTTATCCTGAGTCGTTGAAAATGGCACGTACGAAACAAACTGCACGAAAATCGACCGGTGGAAAAGCTCCACGAAAACAGCTTGCCACTAAGGCAGCTCGTAAGAGCGCTCCTGCTACCGGTGGAGTTAAGAAACCTCATCGTTACAGGCCTGGTACGGTCGCTCTCCGTGAGATCCGTCGTTACCAGAAATCCACCGAGCTGTTGATCCGCAAGCTGCCCTTCCAGCGTCTTGTGCGAGAAATCGCTCAAGATTTCAAGACAGATCTGCGTTTCCAAAGCTCGGCTGTGATGGCCCTTCAAGAAGCTAGCGAGGCTTACCTTGTTGGTCTGTTTGAAGACACCAACTTGTGCGCCATCCACGCCAAGCGTGTCACGATTATGCCCAAGGACATTCAGTTGGCACGCCGAATCCGCGGAGAACGAGCATAAATGGACTTCCCTTCGAATTACAAACGGCTCCTTTAGGAGCCACCACATAAATAAAAGCAGTAACCAAACTATGAGCCCCCAACAACCAACTTTAAAGCCCTAAACTGGAAATATGAAATGAGAAATTTTACTGACAGAAACTGTTATATCACGTTTGCTTGAAGCGCGCCTAACGGCAAGATCTAGCCGCAAAGTCATTACAGTTGTTAGACTTAAATCCGTGGGAAACACTCATTTTCATTATCCAAGATAATCAGAACATACAAATTTTCCACCATTTTGCATTTACATGTATTCCTTCAATGAGCCACGCTATTTTTTTAATGCCAACACTATTTAAATCATCAGCCCTTAGTGATAATTTTTGTCGTCTTTTGTATAGGCCTCCCATATAAAAACTTCACTCGTATTCATGAATCATCCATTTGCAATATAAACCACATTTACTTCATTACACAAATGAAACGCACTTTTTATCAAGATTACGCAAAAAGCGGCGAACGTTGAAGCTTTCGTTCCTCCTTATATTGTCGAATGGGTTTTTGTTGACGTTTAAATTTAATAACGGTCTGCTTTGAATTGCATCGAAAGGCTCATTTTTCGTACACAGGCCTAACTTGTGACTTCCTCTTTCCGACCAAAACTATGTGATGAATGTAAACTTGAATTTTCCTCGATGGAGCGCTTGGTATGTTCGGAAGTCTAGACCTACTACCTTGCTTGGGTCATAGAAGTGACTCTCTATCGATCGACAACGAATAGACTAGATCGTCACAAATAATATACTATTTCACATATTTCTGAACTTCACTGAAGAACGTGTAGAAACCCATCACAGCGTTTACCAAGAAAATTACATCGCTAACTAGTTTACAATGTCTGTTTTGTGAATAAACTTACATTTTGAGGATACAACTCTCAAACTTCACTCTACTCTTGGCATAAAATCTGCCCGGGAGTCGAGAGCGCACAACTTATTCTTGCAAGACTGGCATATCAGAATAGCAACGCAAATCCGCCACAATAAACGCACAACCTTGTTTCATCACCATTACTTTTCAAACAATTGCTTCAATATTAGCCTTATCTTCGAGTCATTTTCTTCATTCGAGACATTCAGCATTGTACCTCTTGTCAAGGTTAAGTATGAAATGGTGGACGTTGTAGTTTTGCTCTTCGTGTTCAAATTTAAAGGCTGCTCTACTTTTGAATATGCATCCAAATGCTCATTTTTTCATACACATGCAGAATTTAGTCCCTTACTTTCCTAAAATATCTTGTGAAATGGTAAAGAGCGACTTAAACAGAACTTATTTTGTCATTTATCCAAAGCTCTCTTTGGAATCTCACTGCTATATGGACTTTTGACCCTAAAATGTCAGTCTTATGTTAAGTAAATCAAAATTTACTTTACACCTACATTTTTTGAGATAACGTAGGTAAGCTCTTAATGATCAGGAAAGTTCTGAAGTTATCGAATTGGCTCGTTATGAACCGAAATGTCAAGCAAACTAACACAGTTTGGACGCCGCCATCTTGTAACAACCCTGTTTCCTCAGTGGTCCGTTCGCGAGGAATAACATTACCTTGCGCGCTCCAAGGAATCATTACATGTGTTAGTTCCGAAGGTTCTAAAATAATTAACATGTCCGAAGCAAATTCCTCTGCTAAAAAGAAGCCGACTGCGCCCAAAAAGCCAGCCGAGCATCCACCTTATGCTGACATGATCATAGCTGCTATCTTAGCGTTGAAAGAGCGAAACGGCTCTTCTCGCCAAGCCATCGAGAAGTACATCAAGGCCAACTACAGGGTTGGTGAGGTCGGTCCACACCTGAAGATGGCTTTAAAGAGGGGCGTCACGAGTGGAAAGTTTGTCCACACCAAGGGAGTTGGAGCTTCTGGTTCCTTCAAGGTGGCCAAGGAGGAAAAGAAGGAGAAGAAGCCGAAGAAGAAGCCAGCAGCAAAGAAGTCTGCTGCTAAACCAAAGAAGCCCGCCGCCAAGAAGGCAGCAAAGAAACCAGCGGCCAAGAAGACCGCAAAGAAACCAGCGGCCGTAAAGAAACCCGCAGCTAAAAAGCCAGCAGTGAAAAAACCTGCAGCTAAAAAACCAGCAGCAAAGAAACCTGCGGCTAAAAAACCAGCAGCGAAGAAGCCCGCCAAGAAAGTAGCAAAGAAATCGCCGAAGAAGGCCGCCAAGAAATAAGGAGGACAGCAACTCCTGATTAAATCAAACGGCTCCTTTAGGAGCCACCACATTGAAAACAAAGTTATGATCAACTGAGTATTAAACCGTCTTCGATAATCGAGTTTACCTTTCCGATAATTATGGTTTTGGCCCTGACTAAAGTTTTGCCCTCTTTAAACTTCAACCTTGTCGAGTATCACGTATAGCTGGCGGTATTCGTGCTTCGCTTTCAAGCACAGAAGCCGCGGAAGGCTTGGGACGAGAAAAAACATTTTTCCTCACTCACTAAACCGCTTTCCCGCTTAAAGCGTACTTAAGACCATTAGCTTCCCAGGCTATTTCGATTTCTCGATCGTTTAGATGGGGCGCTTGGTAGCAGAGACCTTTTTAGATAACAGTTAAGGTATACTGTGTACTTAGCCAAAATGAAAAAAACGGCTAAGTGAAAGTCTGACTCTTCCAATCAGGTTATATCAGGCCACCTGTGTCTCGTAGCTCATTCAATCACCACTTGCATATATTTGCGTTACAATCCAGCCGTCTCGTAAGTAGGCAGCTAAAAAAGCTTTAAACTCCGGAAATCTTTTGTACATTAATCACGTTTCTGGAATAAACCAGCGTTTAAGTGATCGAGCAATTACCGTTGGTAAATTTAAAAAAAAACTGTCTCTTCAAAGTGTTAATAATGTTGAGTGTGACATTTTGTAAAATTAATCATGAACAATAGTCTACCCTTCCTTTCCCGGTTCATCTGTGACTCATCTTTGCTGTACTTCTTCGTTTGTAAAATTTTGTTTCGTTCAGAACCATACTAAGGGTAACATTTTCATGTTTAAAAGCTAGTATTGCGTTAATAATTGACTTTCGTAACATTTGGTGGCTCCTAAAAGAGCCGTTTGTTTTGGCGGAAAACCCACTAAAGTGAGTTTACTTGCTGCTGGTGTACTTGGTCACAGCCTTAGTTCCTTCACTCACGGCGTGTTTAGCCAGTTCACCGGGCAAAAGCAGCCTGATGGCGGTCTGGATCTCGCGAGAGCTGATGGTCGACTTCTTGTTGTAATGGGCAAGGCGGGAAGCTTCGGTGGCGATGCGCTCGAAGATGTCGTTGACGAACGAGTTCATGATGCCCATGGCTTTGCTGGAGATACCAGTGTCAGGGTGAACTTGCTTCAACACCTTGTAGATGTAGATAGCATAGCTTTCCCTTCTCTTTCCTCTCCTCTTCTTCTTTCCATCAGCAATGGCTTTAGCCTTTCCGGCTTTCTTCTCGCCTTTCTTTCCTGCAACTTTAGCTGGCATCTTGATAAATCACAAAGATGAATAGATGAGCAGCGCAACTCGTCTTGTATTTATAACAGAAACGTAAGAGGATCTATTATCATACGGATCGAAATTCTCGATAAATGATTGGCTCATTGCTTTGCTAACATTGGGGTCAATTAGCAAAGCATTCTTTCTTTATTTAGGGATTAAGCTCATTGAAAACTAACAACCGATTGGTGCTTTTCGATCCTATCTGCATGATAAACGAACTATAAATACAAGAGTTGGAGGTCAAAAATACTATTGATCCGTTGAATCTTGTATGTAACATCATGTCTGGTCGCGGTAAAGGTAAAGCTAAGGGCACCAAGTCCAAGAGCCGCTCATCACGAGCAGGGCTACAATTCCCTGTAGGTCGAATCCACCGTCTTCTCCGCAAAGGCAATTATGCTGAGCGAGTTGGCGCCGGTGCTCCGGTGTACTTGGCTGCGGTGCTTGAATATTTGAGCGCTGAGATCCTCGAGTTGGCGGGCAACGCTGCTCGTGACAACAAGAAGACAAGAATCATTCCCCGTCACCTTCAGCTGGCTGTGCGTAATGACGAAGAGTTAAACAAACTGCTGGCCGGTGTCACTATTGCCCAGGGAGGCGTTCTTCCTAACATTCAGGCTGTGCTTCTACCCAAGAAGACCGAGAAGAAAGCCAAGGCTTAAATCGGCTATAATTCACTAAAACGGCTCCTTTAGGAGCCACCAAGTACGACAAAAGTCTTGACCAATGAGCGAAATAACACACAAGTACCAACTAAATATTAACCTATTTTAATAAGCAATAATAAGACTCTCCAGCGTAGTGCAAAAAATTCCTTTTTCTGAGATGTTCCCAAGATCTGAATTTGAGATTTTTCCTTCAAGCTACACCATTGTTATCAGTTTGATTTGCCCCTCTGGGTAAGCTCACGATATCAGTGAACGTTGCAGTAATTTGCGCCAAAACTCGGTCTAAGATAACTCAATTCCCATAGACAATTCAATTCTCGTTGACCTCCTATATGCGAACACCTTTTTTTCTATGCTATATTGCTCCTGAGATCTGTGCGCTAATAAGGCGCAGAGTTAAAACCGAAGTATGTGAAGATTATTTGATCGCATGAGGAATTAAATCCTTTTTTTTCATGAAAGTTATTTCATCAGCGTGAAATACAGTGTTTAGTCAGCTTTTATTTTTCAATAAGATAAAATGGGATCAACGCTTCATGCGTGAAGGCATCTTTCTGAACGGTCGTCATGGGCAATTGATCACTCTAGAAATTGCGCCAAAACCCGATATGCAAATTTTTCCCAATGATAAGACGCTAACACTCACCAAACAACATTTAACCCTCTTTTAAAAATAACTTTTCATCATATTTTTCAAGAGTGCAATTGAGGTTCGCAGTAAATACTATCCAATACGTTTATGCGCAGCTTCGTGGCAAACTGTTGAGTTGTGCGCGAGCGTGAAGAGGTGGAGAGAGTGTGACAGCCGAAAAGGTTGTGTAGCTTACTATCGCCAAGAGTAAGATGACCTAAGATGTTACTTTCAAGAGGCGGGAATTAACTATTTAAGTTTTATTGGTCAAGACTTTTATAAGATTTGGTGGCTCCTAAAGGAGCCGTTTTTTTTGTTTCAGAAGGGTCTGTCTAACCACCGAATCCGTACAGAGTGCGGCCTTGTCTCTTCAAAGCGTACACCACATCCATGGCTGTCACAGTCTTTCTCTTGGCGTGCTCGGTGTATGTCACAGCATCACGGATCACGTTCTCAAGGAAGACTTTAAGAACACCACGGGTCTCCTCGTAGATCAGGCCAGAGATTCGCTTTACACCGCCTCGGCGAGCAAGACGACGGATGGCTGGCTTGGTGATACCTTGGATGTTATCACGAAGGATTTTTCGGTGACGCTTCGCGCCTCCTTTACCGAGACCTTTACCTCCTTTACCGCGACCAGACATGTCAGTGGATTCAACTAGAACTGAAATATGTTACTGCTGTAAACCATGGGTTTATATACACAGACGGATGACCTCGTAGAAAACAAGACATCCATGAGTATTCTCATTGGTTAAGAGCTTGTATATAGATACAGTTTTATTACCATACATTACAATAAATCCACACTAGAAGCACAAGACTTACTTTATGGAAAACAGAATTGTTCTTTTCCACTGGTAATTCCAAAATCAAATCTCAAGTAACAAATGTTCCAAAATATTTTGTCATTTGTAAGTCTTATGTCAGGATAGTATGAATAAAGCTGGAAAAAAATACATCATCATCATTTGGATCCAAATGCGACCACAGATCTGTGAAATTATTCAGGGTTGCTGGATTTAGCCAATCAAACATCTTAATTTTTGAACCAATCAGAAAGAAGCCCGCCAGATATAAATATATTACTCTTCAAACTTCGGTTATCTTTCTCGAAACCGTTGGAAACATGGCTCGTACCAAGCAAACTGCACGAAAATCAACTGGTGGAAAAGCTCCACGAAAACAGCTCGCCACTAAGGCAGCTCGTAAGAGCGCTCCTGCTACTGGTGGAGTCAAGAAACCTCATCGTTACAGGCCTGGTACGGTCGCTCTTCGTGAGATCCGTCGTTACCAGAAATCCACCGAGCTGTTGATCCGCAAGCTGCCCTTCCAGCGTCTTGTGCGAGAAATCGCTCAAGATTTCAAGACAGATCTGCGTTTCCAAAGCTCGGCTGTGATGGCCCTTCAAGAAGCTAGCGAGGCTTACCTTGTTGGTCTGTTTGAAGACACCAACTTGTGCGCCATCCACGCCAAGCGTGTCACGATCATGCCTAAGGACATTCAGTTGGCCCGCCGAATCCGCGGAGAACGAGCTTAAGTGAAGAACTTCCACAAAACAAACGGCTCCTATAGGAGCCACCACATGAATAAAAGCAATGACCAATAAAGTTTATAAAATATAGGCAACAACTGATATCGAAGGGTCAGATATGCTTTGCTCGTAAATTTGGATATAGGATGCTTATGAGCGTCACCTCTGAAATTACAAAATTATAATGAAAGTTTCATCTTGTTCACTATGATAAATAATAGCTTAAAAGATTTCCTTAGACTTCTCTTCCATCAACAGGTGATACATGCCAAGAATTAAAGGCTTACAAAGGTCGAGAGAAGTTCATAACACAAGCTTCCTGTTTCAAATCTCTAAAGCGTAAGAAAGAAAAACAGGCACACTTTTAACAGTATTCAGGGTGCACTATTTATCTCTTGAACATCAAAGAAATTTTAAGAAGTTCAGTCGATAAGCCGGCGATATCTTCGATGCTCTGACTATAAGCAGGTAGCATAATGGCCAAAATTATGCCGGCATATATAATTTATATGACCCTGCTTACGAGACCTGAAATTGCTACATTCAATGGAAAAAAAAGTCGATCATAGTCACATTTGCCATGCAATAACCGTCAATATCTAGATTACTTGGAATGTGCTTCAAAACCCATTATTTTAAAAGTTGTCCGCCTGGAGAATTCAATCACTGTTCACGCTCTAACGGAATATGCTCTACTGCCAAAACTAGCCGCCTAGCTAACAAAAACTGTCACAAAAAGCCGAGGAGTCCGCGAGATTGAAGCGGTTAATTCAGGGCTCTCCTCGAGTCTATAAAGGATTGTCTTCAACATGTAGTTTATTAACGAACACCTCAGCTACTACTGTTTATATTCGTGAGAAATATAAATGCGAAAAGAAATATAGCATTCGCGATAAATCTTTCTCTCGGTTCTTACTCCCTTGTGGCAAAATTGACTCACGTACGTAGGAAGATTTTGCGCGCATTTTGCCTTGAATAACGAACGAGTAGAATTTTCAACCTTGTGGCTTTTAATTATCCAATGTTTTTTCTCTGTTGTAAGATCGTAAATTTTATAGTTATAGCTGAGTCGATCGATGGGCATATTAAAGTTTACTTAGGTTTTTCGTATTCAGAGGCCATGTGTTGTGGGATTGTGTTTGGCTTCGAAATAGTCGTAACTTCTTGAAATCTTGCTGTGGTCGCTTCAGTTCCCAACTTATTTCTTTTAATTTCTCAAACTTTCCAAAATTACATATTTTCACTGTTTTAGTTCAGGACTTAACAGCGAATAAATCACTGAGACGCGAACACAATAAGAGAGAGCGACATGATGGCCGATTGATAAACTTAAATAGTGAAGTTAATTCAGACGAACAGATCGGTCCTGGCACGCCAATTCTCCAAAATTCATAGCATTTTACAAGAAATCCTTCATGTAGTTTCCTCAATGAATCAAATAAACCCAAAATTTCCCTGTTTTCTCATTTCATTTTGAATAGTTGGTTGGATATGAAAATCTTTCACGCGGAAAACAGAGGCAAAGAGAAGACTGATCTGTCTTTGTCTTTGTTGTTCATATATAAATGCCATTTATCCATGGGAAATTGTAGATCAGTGCAATTTAAGGGTAAAAATTGATTGTAAGGGAGTTCTTCTTTCTTAAAATGATCTATTTTATGGAAAACAACGCTCAATACGGATGTTATTTGACTCTATTAACGAAATGTTTTCAAAAATCTTCGTGTTGTTGTACTTTTTTCGCTGAAAATAACATACTTAGCGGGTCTTTAATGAAATATGTTTAACACGAACTTCTTAAATGGATATAAAAGTTATCTTTTTAAGATCGTGATTACAATAATAACGATAAAATACCATCCCATGGACCAAAACGTGAAGTGAACTAGCACAAAATTACACGACGCCATGTTGTTCGCATTTGTTTTCTCGGCGGTCCGCATTTAGCGCATATAGATCGCGGCGAACCTCTATCGGTCATCGATTTACTAGTATTACTGAGACACTCGATTCGAAACCATGTCCGAGGCAAAGACGAAGAAGCCGGCCGAGAAAAAGCCTGCCGAACATCCACCTTATATAGATATGATCAAAGCTGCGATCTTAGCGTTGAAAGAACGAAACGGTTCATCGCGCCAAGCCATCGAGAAGTATATCAAGGCTAACTACAAGGTTGGTGAGATCGGTCCACACCTGAAGATGGCTTTGAAGAGGGGTGCTGCTAGTGGAAAGCTTCTTCACACTAAAGGAGTCGGTGCTTCTGGTTCTTTCAAGCTACCAAAGGAAGAGAAGAAGCCGAAGAAAAAGCCAGCTGCAAAGAAGAAGCCTGCTGCCAAACCAAAGAAGCCCGCCGCTAAGAAAGCAGCAAAGAAACCAGCGGCGAAGAAGGTTGCAAAGAAACCCGCGGCCAAAAAGGCAGCGGCGAAGAAACCTGCAGCTAAAAAGCCAGCAGCGAAGAAACCAGCCGCTAAAAAACCAGCTGCTAAAAAGCCCGCAGCAAAGAAGCCTGCAGCAAAGAAGCCCGCAGCTAAAAAGCCCGCCAAAAAGGCAGTGAAATCTCCAAAGAAGTCCGCCAAGAAGTAGAAACCGGAAGACATCAACTCTTCACCAAAAACGGCTCTTTTAGGAGCCACCACATTCGCAAAAAGTCCTATCCAACTGAGAAACACATTGTCATCTATGCTCGTTTTCTTGCTCAAGCTTTTTGGTCGGATAATTTTCCGTTAATAAACTACTCGTTCGGCCGAACTATTATACTATGTACCGGTATCCGGTCATTCCGCCCGAACTTCGAAGTCATTGTGCCTGATGTATATATCGTCTTATCTATGAGTTGTGTAGAATTCTTTAAAATGGTATCATAAAATAAAACTAGTGTTTTATGAGTTTTTGTTACGAAATACAATATAAGTGGTGTAATATTTTTCTGAGTTGTATACTGACATCACAACTGACTTTTTGCCTCAAATATTTGGCCTCGATGCGTCTATTACATAAAAAATGATTTTGCTTTTGATCGCAGAAGTTCCGAAGAGGTTAAAGGGCATGTAAACCCAAAAATACATGTTTTTCTTATACTATGTAAAAAGTGGCGTAGAAAACGAATTTGAAATTAGTTTTGTCCAATTCGACTTATTTTAGGAGAAAATCGGCATTTTCAACTGAAATTCCATTTCCGGTAAAAACAATAGCGAGAAGTCGTGACGTAAGCGGTGGAACCAAAATATTGCGCAACACATATTCCCCAGTAGAACTGGTGTGGGAGTTCGTGTAAGTAGCGGTGGTTCGGAAGATGTTTTTTCAGAAGATAGTGACTCGAATGCCTTAAGCTTAGTACATGACAGCGCTGGGGATAATCCAGAATCTTCAGGAGAGTCTGGGCCACGTCCTTAACAATATGAGCCGCGTAGGGTTCACCGAAGCGATCCGCACGAAGACAGTACAGAACATGTCGACAGCGATGCGACCGTCTCGGAAACTCAGACTGGTATTTAATTTACTTTGTGATTTATTTGTATTTAACATGAAAATGCAATAAGGCGAGGGTACAATCTAAATGAATGCAACAGAATTTTTAACTTGAGCTTCTGAAAGTGTTTTATATAAAATTATCAAAGGTGCGAGTGTGGAACTTGTCAACCAATGCCGACAACTCATGAAAGTGTTTGTTGTACGGAAATCGGGCAATTGTGGCAAAATGGCCTGAAACCCAGATAAGTTGTATCACTGAGCATCCAGGTTTTCAGTCAATTTGCCTCGATTTCTGGGTGCTGAAGACGGCCAAGTACGCGTACAGGCAGCAGCAAAGCACAGATAATCACACCGGAAACGACTAAGCTAAATATTTTCTGTTTCATCTGTTTTGTTACATTTTGAGATCGATTTACTTGAGTTGTTTCTGCCATTGATTTAATAATACAGTACTAGAGCTAGTTGTTTTTCGCTTCTTTCCTGGCAGGAAATTTCGCTAAATTGCCTACAAATAGCTTGTTCGTTGGTGTTGGGGATATCTCGGCAAACACTTTAGAGTCGCTGTGCTATCTTGTGCGGTAAACAATATCCTTCATCTCAGAAGCATTTCCATCGATAAAAAAGTTGTATCATGTACATTTCCTTGTGTGCCCTTCATAATTATCCAACCCTGTTTGTGTTTGCTTCGATTTGAAATATTGAAAAGATAGTTTTGCAAGCTGAAATCAGGATCTTTTAAGTTGTACTCAAAATGATGAATATTGTCCTACTGACCTTTGAATGCATTTTCGCTGCTGTAAAAACCGTGACACAAATTCTTCTGCTGTTTCTCTGCAGGGTTTCTCAAAGGAAGCACCAAGTGTGGCTGGCTTGGATTTTCTTATAGAACATAAGGGTTGATTATGGGATCCTGTATAGAATTCTTTTTAATCGAACCGACAAAATTCCAGATCACGTTATTACACACTGATATCAACGAATTCTCTTTCTTAAGGTTCAGACAAGTCAGTGTCTTTTACGGGCTCAGCGCTGGCTCCCAAACAACTGGCTTCCCCATAATATTTCATTAGATGCGAAAAAAGATGTTTTTAGAGAACCAATAAAGCTATTGTTGTTTAATTAACAAAACGTTTTCATGTAAATCGATTTTGTACTTTCTCTGTTGACCTCTAACTTTTGAAGAGCTCAACTTCTTTCTCAGTTCGGTCGGCCACTTCCGAATCCTCGTCGTCTGCCGACTGTATGGGTCGTTTTTATACTTCCGAATAATTTGCTTCTGGTGAGGCCTGAATCGTCGGTACAGCACCAGGAAGAAAAATGACTGCCACAAACAACAGAACGTTCGAACGGCTCGACGAAATCGGCTATTTTCACTTGAACAAATTTCACAAATTGTCGCTTCAAATTTGCGTCATTTGGAAATATTTGCATTGTATGCCCAGTTTTGTTTGAATCAGTACAAAACTGGACGACACAATGCTTCACCATTACGAAAAAATTGAATATATTGAAGCAAACTGTAAGTAAAAAAATCATGACGAGACCAGCAAACAACGGCTGTAGGAAAGACTCCTTCGTGCCTCACGCGATTATAAAACGAGACTTTGGAGGGTCCACCCGTGACGTCACAGGAAAGATGGCGCCATTCAAGATGGCGAATGTTTCGAATTTGGAAGAGCTTTTACAAAGTGAAAATGGACTTTTGAGAATAAACGAATGGTACCTTTGGTGTACTTGATATATTTACAAAACATCTATGTGAAAAGAAAATGAACGTTTTTTGGGTTTACATGCCCTTTAAATATCCCAGTGGTTGAATAAGCTGTTGTTTTGACAACACGGTCAACAAATATCTACAAACATTATTAAAAGAAATTAAAAAATGCGATAACAGCTTAATCTCTGTAATTTGATGCACTGTTTGTTAGTCGGGCGGAACGACCGCAATTCTATGTACCGACACACTAATAGAATTAGGGTAAAAATTTTTGAGCTTTTGAAACTGCTAAGCAGCTTGAATAGTATCATTAGGGTCAGATAAATTAAGATCAAAGTTGTTAATAATGCCTGCATAATTTAAGGCATCCTAAATTTTTTCATCTTGTTTGCTGAATAATATTTTGCATTTCTTGAAGTTATACAACAATTAGTCTTTGAAGTTCTAAGGGTCATGACCGCCCAAAAGTGTGTACCTCCCAAGTACCCCCACTTTGTTTTTCGCCATATTGCCACAGCCAAATGACATAGGTGGATAGTTTTAATAGGTCAGGTCAAGAACAGTATTTGTCATAACTTATCAAATACTGTGCACAGGAAACAGAAAAATGCCTCTCTCCCGTTATTTCTAATTTAGCTCAAGAGCCCCCTCCAAAGTCTAAATTGTGTGGAGTTAACCCTTTAACCCCCTAAGAGTGACTAGCATCTAATTTCTCCTTATAATATCACCCCTGAATGAAAGAGTAAGGTCATGAGAATAAAGGAAATGGTTACTAACTAGAAAAGCTATGGATTATGAATCAAATTCTCCTCATCAGCACCTTAGGGAATGTATAGGAAACAGTATGGAAAATATGCATACTAATGCCAAGAAGGAAAGGGTTAAGGGGTGTAGGGAATCAGTTAAAGGGATGCAAGTGAGAAACTGCATGTGACTTCTGATTGACTGTGATATTCTCCTTCCAAATTAGTTTGTATTTCATGTGAAAACTCAAGGAGAATAAGTTTTTGCATCAAAGTCCAGATCAGCTTAATTCCCTGTAACCCTTCAAATCTTGTGATGGTTTTCATGAAGGATCCATGTAGAGCATGTCAGAGTTATTGGAGCAATTTGAAACAACTTCCCAAAGTGACAAAAAAAATTAATTCCATGAAAGCCACACAAATCAGGGGCATGGCTTTGACAATGGAAAGTTTCTCTTGCAACAGATATCAACAGTTTGTATTAACCCTAAAATCATCCCTTACACACCTATCATGTGAGAAGTAATACTCTTCAGCAAGTAATACAGGTTTCCTAACCCTTTGAGCCCATAGAGTGATAGTCATCTTATTTCTCCTTACAATATCACAGCTGAATCAAACATAACAGACATGAGAATGAAGGAAAGGATCACCGACTGAAGAAGCTCTTGATTGTTAAACAAATTCTCCTTGTCAGCAACTTAGGATATGTATTAAGAACAATATGGAGAATATGCTCACTGATTTTAGGGTGTAAAGAGTTATGTCAAAGTTTTCAAGCTGATCACTTTCCACATTCTAATCCTCTTTTGACTTAAAATATGATTAATAAGAAAATGAGAAGTTGCATATACATCACTTATGAAATGAAAGGGTTATCAAATCACAATAAGACTGAAACACCAGAATTTTTTTATTCATTCCAAATAGTGGTCACGTGTCACCATACACTGGCCATAAAATGTCCACATATTCTTCACTTTTTAGCCACATAAAAGTCAAAATACTGTTACAGCTACAAATTTATGTTGTAAAGCTGGGAGCTACATTCTTTTTCTTGCCAAATTACACAAAACAACCAGCTTTAACGCAAATCTCCTGCATTATTTCTGCTTTCTGTCCAAAACTTCAAGAGATTGAAACACTGTAATTGAAAACACTTGCGGTAAGCTAAGTATGGTAAAGCTGTTGGTATGTGTTCCCATTCCAAACTGACCCACAGAAAGTTGAACAGGTATTCTGTAATAACAAAGGTCCTCCTTGTCAGCAACTGTTTTAATATCAAAATCTTTTTTTTTTCCACTTCCTGTTCAGCTGCGAAAATTAAATCTTATTATCTACTAATCCTAGAGTAGAACACAATTATCTTTTTTCTGTGGTTTGTTTGCATGATTTTTGGGTACTGTTCTTTCTAAAAGTGCTGGTTGAATTCTTTGAATCTGCTGCATCATAAGTTGAAATGATTCCTCAACATTTAAGCCAGTCTAAAAAAAACAATACAAAAAAAAAAACAATGATTTAATTTATATTTTAACTTTAAACTCTGAGAATCTGGTGAACAACTTTTCTCTTAGCTGCCACAAATTTTCCTTATAGACCCTTTCACCCCTCAAAGTGATAAGAATCTACTCTCTCCCAACAGTATCACCCCTGAATCAAACAATAAGGTCAGGAGAATGAAGGAAATGATGACAAACCCATGAGGTACTTGATTGTTAAACAAAGTCTTCTTGTAATACCATAGGGAATGTACAGAGAATAGTAAGGAGAACTTGCATACTGATGTTACAGAGTTAAGGATTAATCACCCCAAAAAACTCTGGTAAGCCTCTTCCAGGGCATCAAATTTCAAATAATTGACCCCCCCTCCATTAGATTCCCATCAAAGATAATTCAGAATAACTAACCTATGCATTAATTTCATAATCAGCCCCCTCTAAATATTTTAGACTAGTCATGCCTCAAAGATAATCCCAGACCCCTTTTCTAATGAGCCACACCCCCTTTCATAGCATAAGATTGGTTCTGAGTCCCAGATAAAATGGTAAAGTTTGTTTATTCTGAACCCTTTAATTCCCAAGATCTGAATGTCATGTATTTCTATACTGTCTGAATGAAGGCTGATGAGAAGTGACACAAATATCTATTTGATTCAACACCAAATTCTCTGAATTAACACTTCAAGAAATGTATGGAAGACATGCTGAGATCTTGGGAGTGAGTGAGGGGTTGGGTGTACAATGAGTGAACTCCCCAAGATTGACCCTTTCACTCCCAGAAGTGATAACATGTAACTTCTCCCTACAATACCTCTTTATTATCCAACAAAAAGGTAATGAGAATATTCAAACTCTTCAAGTAGAATTACGTTGATCTAACAACAAATTATGGTAAGTAATTTGCAAGGAAATGTGCAGCAGCTAGAGGGGAGAATTGACAATCAGATCTTGGGAGTTTAAAGGTTAATTATGGACAAACCTTAGCTGACGTTTCAATTAATGGAATGTTGACTTCAGCTGAATTGCAGTATTCCAACACTTCATCCTTTGTCACTTCGCGTTCACCATCTAGATCCTGTGACAGCAAATAAGGAAATCAATTTGCTGCAAATCATCAATCTTGAAAGACATTAAATAGAACCAATAGTGCTAAATGAATTAAACAGGAAACATTCTAATGCCTACAGAAGACCTCCATGTTATATAATTACATGGATTTAGTAAATGGTGGTAAAAAAGAGCAATTGACTCCTTGGTTTGTGGGGTAAGTTTTCCCCACTGGTTTAAAGCAAGCATTGTTTGTGTTTGCGCCATCGCAATCAAAGGGGATAAAACTAAGCCCATAACTTACAATGCAGACTCAGTATTCTGTTAATGCATGTGTATGAGGCAAATAGTGTATACCCAACTCCAGTGTTCTCCTTTTCAGGTGGTAACCAGTAAATTTACCACTTGCAGTACCCCTTATTACTGCCTAAAATCAGCTTTGAATACTTGAAAATTCAACACGTACAAGGTTTGCTCTACTGGTTTAAAGATTTCTTTTATTAGTTGTGCTTAACCCTTTGACCTCAAGAGTGACTAGCATCTAATCTCTCCTTACAACGTCACCCCTGAATCACACATTAAGGTCATGAGAATAAAGGAAATGATTATTAACTAAAGAAACTCTTGATTGTTAAGCAAATTCTCCTTGTCAGCTCCTAAAGAAATGTGTAAAGAACAATATAGCGAATATGTATACTGATGTTAGGATGCATGGGAGAAGACTAACTCACCAACTTATTAGCCACTAAGACCATGGGTATAGTGGAACTCAATTGCCTATCCTGAATAATCTTGCTTCGTAGATCCTTCAGTTCATGCCAACTTGATGTGGAATTTATGGCAAATAGTACCAAGAATGCATCCCCAGTTGCAACTGATGAATCACGGAAAGAACTAAACTCTTCTTGACCCGCAGTGTCTACTATCTCCACGTCATAGAGCTTTCCATTATATTCAATCTAGGTTTGGAAAGAGGAAAAATGGACAGTGAGCTAAAATAATAACTTGGGCTTCCTGAGGAAAAGCCCAAGTCTAAAATCATGCTACTGTTATTGTATGTCTTCCAAAAAGGCACTTCCAACATTTCTGTGATTATAAGGGTCAGACAATCTTAAACTTCCTGGCCCTTGGATACAAGAATAGGCCATTTACTACCCTCTAAAGTAAACACAGCCCAAGTGAAGATCACAGCAGCCTCTTGTTCAAAGTATGATTGCTCTTATCCTTAAAGAAGTTTGAATTTAGCCAAAGTGATATACAAACCTAAGGCTTAGCCTTATCTTTTTTTAGCACAGAAGCCCTAAGAGTCTTGCCTCTATAGCAGGATTGGATGTTGCTCTACCTATCAGCAATTTCTCTACGTTCATAACTCTGCTATGCATACCTCCTTTCTGTATGTCTCCTCTGATCATCAGCCGCACATGAAAACAGGGAGAATAATATTTATTACGTACACTTCAAATGGTAATTCTTGGTATCACTCCTAGCCTTGTAAAATAATTTGAATCAATAACAGCATCCAAGAAACTGTGCACCCACCCCTCCCCTAACACAACAACAGACAACTGATAACAAGTTTGGGTTAATGATGGTTTTAGGGAGGGGCAGGTACACAGTTGCTCAGATAATAACATTAACCCTTTAATCCCTGGGAGTGACTAGGATCTAACTTCTCCTTTCAATATCACCCCTGAATCAAATATTAAGGTCATGAGAATAAAGGAAATGATCACCAACAAAAGAAACTCTTGATTATTAAACAAATTCTCCTAACCAGCACATTAGAAAATGTATAGAGAACAGTATGGAGAATATGCATACTGATGTTTGGATATAAAGGGTTAATCTAATAATTTTTTATAATCCAACTTACCTAATGTGGGGTCATAGTACTAGAAGGTGAAAAATAAAACAAGTGAAAAGTTAGATTTACTTGTAATACTACGTGCTAACAAAAGTTACTGTTTTAGTAATTATGAAAAAACTTGTCATTCTTTTTTCCTCATTTATCTTTGGTTGGCTTTATCATATTCACCTTTCTGCAGGGTGGGAATGTGCAACCAGCTGATTGCTAATACAACTGAGTAATGATTGTTAGAAACCAGATTTTCAATGCTAGTTACCAGCAAGTAATTAACCCTTTAAACCCTGAGAGTGACCAGCATCTAATTTCTCCTTACAGAAATATCGCTGTATCATTTATTGAGATCATGAGAATAAAGGAAATGATCACCACCCAAAGAAGCTTTGGTTGTACAACAAATTCTCCTTGTCAGTACTAGAAGAAATGTATAGAGCAGAGAATTGAGAATATGGATACTGATGTTAGGGTGTAAGGGGTTAACTTGAAAGTCAAATTATTTTCCTCTTGTAATTCAGCCCTCAGCCCTCATTTGTTTTGTATGCTTTCATAGACTCTAAACAAGATCAATTGTGTCCAGGAATTACTATATCCTTGGAAACTTAGCATTTTCCTATTTTGCTGTGAGGGGAAAAAGTTGCAGATCAGACTTTTTTGTTCTTCCTTATGATCTTAAAGAGGACAGATACATACATGACATCATCATGAACATTATCTTGCTTTTTTACTATATAAAACAAAGAGAATCCAGACATGGTTTGATGCTACTCTGGTTTAAAGATTTAATGAATGTAACCGAAGAGGTTACAATTCATAAACCCAACATTTCCACACTCCTGTAGTGCCTTCATCAAGGGTGATCTACACGTTGCAACAAGAAGTCCTTATCTATTATAACTAATTAGCTGCCTCTTTTTGACAAGGTGTAAATAGGCATCAGGAAGTAAGCTGCCATCAACATGATTCAAAGGAGCGTGGGCGGAGTTAATATGCCAAGCTTCCACACAAAGGCACTGGTGGTAATGCCGATTAGTGGTGATAAGTTTAGACTTATCCCACCCAATTGTAAGGTTAGTTAGGCATGTGTGCTCTGATAAAGCTGAATTTTCTTTTCTGCACAAGAAAAAACATTGCTACAGGTCTGTACAGTAATAGAGCACAGAGCACATCAAAATGTGATAAGAACATCAGTGGCACGCTTAGCTGCGCTCCATGTGTTAAATTTTTTGTTCTTAACACATTTTGAAGTCTTCTTTGATCCATTGCTGAACTAATGAAAAACAGCAACATGGAATCTACTTGTTAAGTGGAAGGGGCCATAGATAGTTTCTTGAACAAAAAGCAACAAGTATGCTTATTTTTCAATAGCACACTTTTCAATAGCACACTTTTGAATAACACACTTTTCAATAGCACACTTTTGAATAACACACAATCTAATTGATGTTTTAAAATTCATCTTATTCACAGCCATTCCAAGACTGATAGAAAGTGATAAATGACATTCAACTTCCTACCTCTGTGAACTCATTCTTCAGGTAACGTATTGTCAAAGAGCTTTTCCCCACTCCCCCACTTCCAACAACACACAGGCGAAACATGTCTGTGCGCTTCCCTTGATTGCCTGACTAAGACTCCTTTCCATCCACAGCTGAAAGAATGTTATTGATAAAGTTAATAAATTACAGGAAAATGTTTTTGGCTCACTGAGCCCTAAAATTACAAATTTGGACTGCTAAATTTCAGCCTCTGAAGAGCAGAAATTTGGCTTGGTTGGACACTGACAGTGAATATCTGTTACAATGAAAAATTATATCATTTGGAGTACGCAGCCACAACATGGAAAACATTGGTTTGAGATCCACTTCACATTTACAATTTGATCTGTCACGCTTTGCATTTTTTATTTTTTCATCTACATCTGGCATGCTGGGAATTTTAAGCAATGTTTTTCCATGTGCTTGTAGTGTAAGATATTTTTTGTTTCACTGAGAACATTTTCCAATATGAAACAGATAGTTATACTGTTCAAGAAGTCCTTGTCTTTGAGGATATGTCTTTAAAAAGAGGAACAAGATGGAGGGATCAGAACACAGTTACAATTCCTGTGAAGCTTTGGGTAAAGACACTTGACTCTGCTATGTTATGCTAGTTTGTCACACACATTATACTACTTCAAATCAACAATTATGCTACATTTTAAAATATCCAGGGTCAAGGCTCTCCATTGAGTACAGGTTCAAACTGAAGTCTCAGTAGAAGTGTCTGTTAACTTAAGATTCTCTCTCTCACTGCGACCATCAACAAGGTAGCTTTGAGCACTGATGATGATAAGAGAATAACAAGGGAAGATAGGAAATCAACTTTAGCTCATGGTCATGGTAAAAAATATGAATCCTGATAATATTCCATTAAATGCATTAATAGCCGGACCTACAAATTCAGGAAAGACAAGATACCTAGTCAATCTTTTGAGTACCACCTTCCAAGGAAAGTTTGATTAAATTGCTCTCCTCTGTCCAACATTCATCCACAACATTACATATGATGGTTTTGGATAAAACCATAAGGACTTAGTTATCTTGTTTCTACTCCAAGACCAGATTGATGATGGGCTTAAGATTATCAGTTACATGCATGAGGGAACAGATACACTGATCATTCTCAATGATAGTGCAGCTTCAAGAGATGTAAGCAGAGGACAAATGAACTTGTGAATTAAGCATTCAGAGCAAGACATAAGGGAATCAGTGTTTTGGACCTCATACGACAGATGAAAAGCATTGCAAAGGCAGTCAGAGAGAACATCATTCCATTAGTTCTCTTTTACACACTATCTGTCAATGATATCAGGATCATTTTCAAGGATTATGTGCATGAGGCATGATCTTGTTGTGGAGAAGTACCAAGCGGCCTATGAGAAGTATAAAAAAAATCAAACAAAGCTCCTCAATTGGATTGCAACTAATGACTGAGTCAAGGAGCAGGCAAAACAGAATTTAGTGGACACATGTTTTGCTTTGAAGCTGTATAACAAGGTGCATAAAATGGAAAGAAAAATTTCAAGAATCTGCTATAGCCCTAGAGGCATTTGGAAGGGATTGGCTGCTGTGAAGAAGTTGGCTAAAGAAGCTGGAGTATGTGAAGACAATACAAAGCTTTGGCTGATGATGCAAGCCATCTGGCAGATTTATTTACCCTGAAGCATATCCTGAGACCAACTTTTGATGTTGAATCTCCAAATGCAGTTCATCAAGCTGATCTTTTTCTTTCTCATGACAAAGTGACTGCAAGGTCACAGAAAGTCAACAAGTACACATTGACAGTTGTTGATGTTGCAAGCAGATTAAGGCTGCAGAACCTCTCAGCTCAAAGGATTCTTCTGAGGTCTCCAAAGCATTTCAGACAATCTATAGGCGTGGACCACTAAGATGCCCAAAAGCTCTTCAGGTTGATCCTGGGCATGAATTCATGGGTGAGGTCACAACGCATGATGTGAGGATAAGAAGAGGGGGTGTGAACATCCACAGAAATCAGGGAATCATTGAGTGATTCAACTAAACTTTGAGTGACTGTCTCTTCACTTTCCAATACAGTCAGGAGATGAACTTCAAAGAGGGAAATAGATTGACATAATGAGTGAAGAGGCTTCCAGAAGTTGTTTCAGCTTTGAATTGTGAGGTGACAAGATTGACAAGAAATAAACCTGTGGATGCCATCAAGGATAAGGTGGTTGAAATGAAGAGTTCAATGACTTTTTCAAGGCCTGTTGGCTTGATGGAAAAGAGACTCAACTCCTCAAAGAACGCGACATATCTCTGTGCTACTGCTGAGCTGGAAGGTGGTCAGAGGTGAGCCACAGATCCAATCTGGTCTCTGGAGGTCTATGATATCAATAGAACACTGGTGAATAAGAATGAGCCTGTTCTCTATTACCTGAAAGATGGACCAAAGTGTGGTTTCATCAGAGAAGAGCTTCAGATTGTTCCTCCTGGAACTGAGTTGCCTCGTGAAGGAATTTATTAATTTGAAAACACCAAGAAAGAAATGAGTTTCTTCATAGACCCAAGCAATTCTGGGAATCAATTCAAGAAACTAATGAAGATATGAACAATCAAAAGATCATCAATCTTGCCAATCCAACTGACCACCAAGACACAGTGACCAAGATTAGTATGTTGATTAAAAAACAGAAACAATACATTTATTCTCTTTTTTGTCAAAATATGCTCCCAGAAGTCTCTTCATTGAAACATTCATTACAGAAAAAGCAATGTGCTGGTACCACACAGACCACAACTCAAACAGTGAAGTACTTCATTGAAATAACTTTAGTGTTACTACTTTCGATCAATCAGGAATGAACAACCATGCAATACAAAAAAAATTCACTCAGACCAAAAATATCAACTTAAGTAAAGCATGGAAGATACTTCTCCTTTTTCAATGAAAATAGGCATTTGATCTTCTTTTATCAATAATCTTAAAATCTTAAATGTCTTAAGTGTTATCAAGATATATATATAAGAAAAGTTTAAATGGAACAACAATCTATACAAGAAACTGTTTGATTGGAAATGGATTCATTCAAAACTTCTCTCTTTCTCTTGAAAAAGATAGAGAAGTTGTTGTTGATGGAACAATACCAAAATCAGGACCACAAGAACCATTCACTGTTGTTTGAGTAAACACAAAATTATATAATATACAAAGAAAACCAGATTTTAAATTAAATGTTTCTATTGATGTCAAACCTTCAGCAGGATTCAAGAGAAAAGCAAACCCAACAGGAGCAAAATGTAATAGGGTAGTTTGTCAAGGAGGAAAGTGGAAAATTAACAGCTGTTGCTGGAATATGGATATGGCAATGCTATAATATGTTCTTGTTCTGTCTGGTGTGATGGGAGAACACTTCTCAACTTTAGTGCAAGCAGAATTAGCTACAGTAATTATGTATGGGGCAATTTTTCAAAACAAGATGGAGATGATTTTCAGGAAGGTTTAAACTCAGACAGTCATACTTCTCTCATTTGTACAGACACTCTTATGACAAAAGAACAAATAAAGGCACACCACGACTTCCTCATAAGAAGATAATACATTAATGCTGATCCTGTTGAATAAAACCATGAAGCATGCTTGCATGTGCAAAGACTTTGAATTTCACAGGTGATGTTGTGAATTCAGGTGTAATCATGTCCAATATAGCAAAGGCATGAAATCTTCACACAGACAATCAACACCCTGATGGCAAGACAAGAGAATTGTTCAAGGTGATAATATTCACAACTTCATCAAAATTCATAAGCGAGACATTGTCAATATTATTTACCTGTGAAAAATTCAAGTTGCCTTTAAATCAACCTTGATTTGAAAATGCACAAAAACTGTTGTTTGAAATCAAAGTTGATTTCAAGGATGACTTGAAATCAAGGTTAAAATTCATGAGTTGACTTGAAATTCTAGGTTGTTTTCAAAATGAGCCAGAATCCCTTTTCCTCTCTCTGCTTATGCAATTTTGCTGTCTTTGAAAAATTTACTTGTGCTTATTAACACAAAATTGCACTCACAATCATGTTGTTACCTTTACCAATACACTCAGACACTTGATTAAAATTTATGATAGACTTAATTTTAGGCAAGCTTCCCGCAGCTCCAGGCAAGTAAACCTTGGTAATAGCTTGCCCTAAGGGCAATCTGATTTGTTTATTATCATTTCACTCTTTTAATTATCACAATACTGGCTAAACTCCAATACACATTCAAATGAAACAAAGATTTGAATCCAAAGAGGGTCAAAGTTGAATATTTAAGAATGTCTGCTTTTAAAGAAACTAATAGAACACAAGTCTAACGAAAACTCTGAGAATAATCATTGCTCATTGTCATACAAGTTAAACTGAGAAGACCAACACTGTGCAAAATCTAGTTCTCTAAGAGCAGTTAATTACCACTAAACCTTTAGAAACTTATTTCACTGTATTCGAACACAAGTTATTTCAAAACTGCTAAAACAAACAAAATAAATTTGAGCAAATTGTTCTGCAGTAAGAAATCAATGGTCACATAAACAACAGCCAAAGGAAAAATGATCAATAGTTATTAAATCCTTAATAACCAATACAGCTCTTGAATGTGAACAATTGGCAAATTGGCAGATAATTGTAAGTATTTTAACATTTTCTAGCCACTTTAAATTTTCACCAAAAAATTTACATTGAAAACAGCTGTTTTTATGACCATAACTCAACCCACCATCCCCTACTTGTGCGCGATTAACCTTGTAATTTATGTCCATATAATGTAATTGATTGATTGCTCGTACCAAGATAGCACAGACGAACACACCCTGAAATTATTATTATTGCATTGTTGTCATATTGAATTTCACGTTATGGCAATAGGTTTCGAAAGCAGGTCAGAAAAACAAACATGCAACCCTCCTCAAAATCCCTTAAGAGCAGATGAAATGTCGTTTAGAAATATATTTTTCTGATGATTGTCACAAAGCGCAGACTTTCAGGGCAAGTTGATGCATGGAAGATTCGTGACATGGACTTGTGCCCTTCAACTATAAAGACAATTATAAACCGTTTGTTGTTTAAAGTTAAATCTGACAGCCCCAAAATGACTCTTCGATCGATGCAATGCTCACAACCTAACAATTCTCTCAAAAAAGTGAAATTAATGATAAAATATATATAAGTTTATATGTAAGTACCACGGTGTGAGCGAAGTATTTTTAGTCGAATTAATCGGGCGATCGAACATTCAGTTACTTAGGTAGATATGCAGGCGTTTGTATTTGCTAAATCGACCGCTTTAGAGAAAATATTCTTGCTGGCAAATATCTTACAAAGGTATTATTATAATAAGAATTGGTACAGCGGAACAAAAGACATTGCAGAGGAAAATTAAAATAAGCTTAACGCTATATGATATTATCAAAGAATTCTACGCAGGAACGCAGGTTTAAAACGCATAATAGTTAATAGATAAGCTTATAATTTAAAGCACTTGTATTGTATTTTTCCATTTACTGAAAATCATGTTAAATACAAGTTTTCGTGCGCATTTCAACCCACAAGTCCCTTCATTAGCATGTTTGAAAAACAACTTGACGAGATCCAAAGGAAGTGTAGAAACTTCACTTACCTTTCGAGTCAGTTCTTCGAAGCTACACACTTATTTACAACCTTTGAATCACAGTGACTAAAGGAATTGAATACAGCCACAAAGAAGATTATGACAGAAGTGATTCAATGGACGAGGCAACTGCAAATTCCACTCATCGGAATAACTTATATATAAACCAGCCTGAGTAAATACTTGAAAACAAGCGTGTCACTCTGGTACAAAAATACATGACGTCATCACCAATCAGCACGAAGCATGGCACGTGTCATCCAGTTGTTTGTTTCGCTGTGATTACAAACCGCAGTAATCCGCAAACAGAAATAACCCCCTGCCGCTGTATTTTATTTATAGAAATAATATTAAAACGATTTACAACTCTAAGACGAAAAGTCATTCAAATCTTTTTTCCTTAATAAACCATTTCAAAAGTTGTAACAGACATCTTCAGACTATCGATCCTAAAAGCTGGCTGCTGTCTTCTTTACTTTTTACTTTGAGAAACATCCTTAAGAAAAATACCGCTCTGCTGTTTCCGTTGTGCCACTCGTCACATTTTTGTTGGCACAAATTGCGACTGATGGTGAAAAGAAAGAAATATTCAGTACAATTCCCTTCTTAAACAGAAATCTGTTTCCACCACTTTTTTTTCTAACAGATAATTTTCATGGTACCCTACCGCTAAATCATCATCGTCAAGTAGACATTATCAGTAACGAGTTCCTCTCCCTTCCAAGAACACCGACGAGGTGTGCCAAAAATCAAATTTGTTTTTTCATTGAGCATAAACAGTGGGGGGTAATTGGCGCTAATAACCCATCGAGTTTCCGTGTTTTAGCTTTTGTTTTGTTTTGTTTTTTTTATTTAATTTTCTTTCTAGTCCCTTTTACTCCGCCCTTTTTAAAGATTCTTTGTGCATTCACGCGCGAGAGAAGAAGACACGTGTAGTCATATTTCAAGCCCCCTACTCGAGGGAAGTTGGGGGGAGTAAGATGACTTTGATGGCTGTTTCGATAAAAAATGACCACCTTTGAAGCTATCCCGTTATCTCAGAGTAACTTAAGAGTAATTTTTCTTGATCTCACCGAGAGACATAGTACCTCTCTAATGTAAATATTGTTTTTATTTTTCTAATCCGCGGTCCCTTCGAATGACCTCATCCAGCGACCCCCCCCCCTCCCCCCTCCCAACGTCAAAAAGCCGTAAACAAGATCAATTTAGCACATTTGTTTTTCAATTGGTAACACGTGAATTCATCTGGACACAGGTGGGGTCTCCAACTGCTTAATCACAAAAAGAAACATCCGTGCGGGGTGTAACTTGACAAATAATTTTCTTTAAAATTACCGGCAGATCCGCCAGATGCAGTTTCGTTGCTTGGTGTTAACAGATCACGTTTTTTTTTCTGCGAAGCTGGCCAAATGACATTAATTCAACCCAGGATTGTTTGATTGAGCACTAATTTCAAAGATTAAATGTCTCGGAAGTATTCACACAACTTCGACCAGGATCGGTAAATTAACGAAGTACTTCCGAATTCGGCATCGTTCGAGAACGAGTCGGAAACAGGGGGACTGAAAACAAATAATTTCCTCGAGGGGACCCAATTTTTATCGATGGGTTGGTGGATGGGGGGAAGAAAGAAAATCGGAAGAGTATTTAGAAAAGAAGAAAATTTATTGCGACTGAATAACACGTATGCATTTCCTGATGAAAGCTTCAAAGATAACTTAGCATTATTACGATATTTTCGAGTAACTTATCAAAATTGCACAATTTTTGTGCCTGTATTTGCTGAAATGACTTATGTTAAGTTGTAATTTGCGTAATATGTACAAATAAAAAAATTAAGAATTCCATTCGAAAACATATGCAAAATGAGCAATAAAATATCTTCTCACAAAATGAAATTCTACTAACTACTTGAATCTTTTAACTTCGAGTTTCAATATGTTAAAATTGCTAAAAAAAAAAAAAAAAAAAAAAAGTGTAAGAATTTACAGAGGTATGATAGTTACCCCACATGAAGCCTAAAAGACCAACAGAACTAGGGGTCGGTCATTCTTTATCACCTGAGGGGGGGGGGGGGGGGGGGATTTCAGGGGATCACATGGTTTTCAAGGAGAACGGAGAGGGGATCTGTCGTGGTCAACAGAGTATAAAGAGGGGACTATTGACAATTGACTGCCAATTAACTGTCCAAGACAGGGGATCATAAGAATATTACAGAGCCTTATAGGGGGGTCACATAAATTTGATCGTGACACAACCAGACTCCTCCGAAACCCCTCAGGCGATAAACAATGACTGATCTCTGATTTGTAATTGATGATAAAAACCATGAATTCAAATTGAATTTTAAAAAAAGCCTATATTAATAAAGCTTCAAAATTGATCCCTTAAAAGTGAGCTGAGTCGCTTTTGCACAACTTGTACGAAAACTTTCCCCAATTTTTCGTGTTTACCATTTGCATTTGGGTTAAATTCCTCTATCTTCAGTTGTACTAAATTTATTCCATACTAAATTCAATCTTTTTTATATCATACGATACTCCACCAATATTCCAAGCTATTGAAAGAAATTCTGAACTATTGTAGTTTATCGACCAGTCACGCAATCCATGACATTGCGTGACACAAGTCTATTCTCCTATTCGATGGTGCAACGCTCACGAAGTGTCCTTGGCAGGTTGCCAGGATTTTTCATCCACCAAGCAATGCAGTCTCTGACAGTGAGATACCAAGTTTTTCCACATATTGTGCACCGCTAACAAATGACGGTTACCTGTTAAGACACGCGCAGACGTTTAATTCCCAATTTTAAAAAAAACATTATATAGTGGCCACGATTTGTAAAAAGTTAAATATGCGCCTCTTAGCCTTAAACCTAACCTCCTCATAAAAAGACAACCCATGTACCAACAATTGGCGAATTTCCAATAACCACCATCCATTGCATGGTCCTTTATGGTCGTTACACGTTAGGGTGTTTGAGCCTTACGTGACATCAACTTACTGCTAGCTGGGCTGAGAAACGTAGCAATTTTCACGTGAAAACACACATACTTCAATTAGGTAGGGTCCCATAACCACGCTAAGCCAGCGGTATTTGATCTTACAAACATTAAATTGAAGTTTTTCAACCTCGCTCCTAGACTCCCTCTTTTTCCCCAGTCCCATTAGCGAGAAGGCGGGAGGAGAGAGCTTGGGAACAAGGTTAGACCATTGTTACACTTGGATTGAACATTCGCATCATGAAGATAGACTAATACTCACCAATAATTACTAGACCATGCTTTGCACGAGTAAGAGCAACGTTCATTTGCCGCTCATCAATAAGAAAACCTAAGTGATTCGCTAACCATTGTTGATTATCAGAGCTGCCTGTGATCTTTTCTACTGGCAGACTTCGCACGGTAGACAAAACCACAAAGTCCTTCTCAGCACCTAGAGAGAAAGACAACATAAATGTGTTAAGATCCAGTCGAAACCACCCCCTACTGGGTAATTAACCCTTTAACAACTAAGAGTGATTAGCATTTAATTTCTCCTTACAATGTCACCACTGAATCACAGATTAATGACATGAGAATTAAGGAAATGATCATCAACTTAAGAAACTCTTGATTATTAAAGAAATTCTCCTTGTCAGCACTTTGGTAAATGTACAAAGAACAGTATGGAGAAATGAACGCTGATGTTAGGGTGTAAAGGGTTAAGAGAAATAACCCTAGGACTGCAAGACTCGATTTCGGCCCCTTTCTGAGGATCGCTGTTTTGACCGATGACAGAGAAGGAAAAGCAAAACTAATAACATCTGCCCATGTGAGAGGGAGATGCGGGTCAATCATAGAACAAGGAAAGCAAAAACAACGCAATCCAGTTAACATTGGACACTAAGTAGAAAATGTCCACAAACATTCACATACCTTGGCTGGCGAAGACAGAGAGGACCTCTGAGTCACACGAGTTAAAGGAGCTCTGTAACTCTCGGGATATTTTGGCTCTCTGCGCAGAATATGGTGTAATGACAGATATCCGAGAAGATTTTATTCCGTGGGACATCAGGTACTTGAGAACTCGTAGCTACAGAAGAAAATCATTAATAAAGAAAAGGTTACAGGTGCCATGTCAAGTTAGTCATTTGTACTCTGTTTTCAATTTTTCCACCCTCAGAAAGAGTCCTTGAGGCCAACTATCCTACATTAACGAGCTCAAAACTTATTCTCTTCATAAACATGACGCTATCGACATTGCTAATCCTAGCAGTATGCAGGGCGCGTGTCATTTGAACTTCGTAATAGACCTTGCTCACCGTACTCTCTGTGGCTCAATAGTAGAGTCTTGGAACGCGGAATCCGAAGACAGAGAGGACCTGAGATTCGGAAGGTCTGAGATTCGATTCCTCATAGGGACTCTGAATTTTTTCTTTGTCCCACGCTCGTGACAAGACGAAAAAAAATCTTTCTCTATATCTTACATTATATGATAAGTAAAATTATACAAGCGTTTTGATTGGTTCTTTACTCATGAGCTAAGACAGGCGCACAGATGACGTCACCGCTGACAACATATAGATTCCATGTAACCGTGGGTCTCTACAGTACTAGGTCACAGGAAAAGTCAAAATTTGGTAAGAACATCAGTAACACACTCGACCGCACCTCGTGTACTCCTTTTCTGTTCTTAGCAAATTTTGACGTCATCTATGTTCTAATACTGAACAGACTCACGGCGACATGGAATGTACTTGTTGAACAAACGCAAGGCAGCAGAGAATCTATTTGTTGAATAGGAATACTCTACGGAGACTATCAGCTACTAGTATATACTAAAAAACAATGGATATTGTTAAAGGCGCACTCTGATTGGCTATTCAAGCTCCGAATTTCATTTGTTAGTTACCTTCCAGCAACGCGCGCGATATTTGTGCGCGAAAATATTATAAACGTTGCAGGAAAAAATGAGTTAAAATTATCTTTTTGTGCTACACTAACTCACTGTTTCAGTGTATACTAAAACAACTATCTTACGATAGACATACTTGAGCTCACATTGTGTACTTCACACGCTTACTAACAACACTTACCACAACGTTCACCTCTTGCGGGTTGCGCTTAGACTCCTCACGGCCTTCAGGGCCTGTGTAGTCCTGGGGACTCTCTTCAGTTCCCATAACATGACAAAATACGACGCGGACATTTGGTCCCCCTGGCCAAAAGTTTGGCACCAGTCCGTTTGAAACATGTTCTGGAGTGGTTAGATGTGAAGAATCTTTCAGGAGATCTTCATAAAATTGTTTAGACGGAAACTCCCTAATACTCGGATGCTGATGAAAGAAAGAAAAAAGATATAAACGTCCTACTTGTAAATATACCGGCTATTCATTGAAATACAGGCATTCAGTGATGACTGCACCCTTTTCAACCGTAACTAATACACTTGGTTAAAAAAAATTGTGTTCAAAATCAATTACAGTAATAGTACGACTTAAGAGCTGTCCCACGTTCCGGCAAAGTCCGTCGCGCTAATCAAAAAAAGAGAATATTAGCGATTAAATAATTAATGTTAGCGCGCCGCGCGCAGCTCCGGCACGACAAGTACTTTTCGTTCGCCCCACTCCCCACGCCCCACTCCCCACGCCCCACGCCCCACGCCCCACGCCCCACGCCCCACGCCCCACGCCCCACGCCCCACGCCCCACGCCCCACGCCCCATTCCCAGAGCTCTACATCGGACTTACGCGGCGCACTAACACACGCGACGGACTAAAGCGAAAAGGAGGGATTGCTCGTGGTCTAGGAATAGTATGGACCTGCAAGCAGTCTGAGCTGACTCAGGCAGGACATGTTCAAACAAACTTATATTTGCACATCAGAAGAAAATTGAAAAGGTTGAGTAATTACGAAATATAAAATACTGCATTTCATAAAGACAACTACCCTATTTTCTAACACATAGGTGAGTTTGTGAAGGAGTAATGAACATGATACGATGTTAAAGTAACCACAACATCTCTGCGTAACCTTATATTTCATGAAGCATATACAGATCTTTGATAAAAGGAAACAATGGCGAAAACAATTGGTTACTTCTGGAACCAAGGCTTTGTTTTAGAAATAACATGGGGCAGTGCAGAAATCTGTCTTTCTGAACGACTACATACATGCTTTCAGTGTGGTCAACTGTAAGCAACAAGAGCTATGAAACTCACCATTCTATACTGTGTCTGTAACTTGCACGACGAGAAGCTTTGGCTTGCATTAGGGGCGTTAAAAAGCACGTCAAACAAAGAACGGCCCAGACCAAGCTTACGCGGGACAGAACTCATTATCACAGCACCCAACTGCTTGTGGTCTCCAAGCAACACCACTTGCCTGAGCCGCTGACCGGCCGAACTTAGGGTTACTAGGCTTTCTGGCTCAAGGCACATGCTGGCCTCGTCTATGATGGCCTGACAGACACGTGCGTGACGCTTCACACGTGAACTCCCACCCTCGATGCACGTGCACAGAATCACTTCCGTTCCAGTCTCTGCAATTTCGTGTCGCTCTGCTTCATCTAACACTTGGTACAACTCTTGCATTTTGAGACACAAATCCTTTGTGTTTTTTTCCTGTTTTTTGACCTTATCTTTCGCTGAGATTCTCTTCTCCAGCTGTTTGATTTCCTCTTCAACCGCCTTTAGCTTAGACGAATGCGGATTGCTCCGTTTACGGACACGAAAATGTAAAGATATATCTTCACAATCTTTACCCATAACACTTTGTGCAGATGGCAAGTTTGTCCTCAGAGACTGTTTAAAAGATTGGTTCTCAATCGTTTTACCATATATCCGTAAAACTTTCAATCTAGGAATTTTCTGAAGTATCCCTGCCAAACAGAAAAAGCACAGTCAAGCCTAGTCAACAGTGCAAGCGTCCTTTTAAAGAACACAGGTTCTCTTGGTAAATATCTACAGTATGCCGAACCACCATGTTTGATACAGTGGACGAGGAAAAGGCAAGTTATGAAGAACTTTCTGTCTCCTAATCTTTCTCTGCTTAAGGAAATCCAAAATGGCGGTAAAATGTACTAACCGTGTAACCGGCAAAATAACGGATGCATCGCGGCTTACAAAAAATTCACCCCTAAAATTCTCTTTAGGACAAACATGTAACATCTCCCTGTGATTTCCATACAGTTCTCTGAAAACAGGTTATGAGAATACACCAGTTTATCCGCTAAAGTTTGCTATCTGGTGTGTAATTTAATGTTAAACTAGGATAATTTTGTGAATAAATTTCAAAATGACTGAATTTGACACCAAATTCTTTTGCCAAAAATGAAAGGAAAGTTACGACAGTCATAAGGATGAAATAGTGACTAGTTTAAGTGTCCATCTCTCATTCTCTGACAAGCCTTCTGCCCCTTTCGATAACATCTTTAAAGAATAGCTCGATAATCATCATAATTTAGAGCTATTTTCAACTGAGTTTCGAAAGAAATGCGGGATTGGTTTGTTTTTGCTTTACCTCGTTCTGTATTGGTCCAGAAAACTCGTATCATCTTCTCAATCAATCAGAATAAAACCTTAAACCAACCGTGACTCGTTCACCCACGTTTTCCCGCGCCCCAAGCGGTTGGCAAGTTTTTACCCTGAGTTCTTATTGGCTCCTTGTGGTAGTTTACTTTCTTCTGATTGGCTAAAACCAACCGTGACTCATTTACCCACGATTTCCCGCGCTTCAAACGGTTGGCAAGTTTTACCCTGAGTTCTTATTGGCTCCTTGTTGTAATCTCCTTTCTTCTGATTGGCTAGAGTGATCACTTTGGCCTTAATATTATGACAATCAATCGAAATGCGTTCTTGCCCCACCAAAAATTGTTATCAGTTATGGCTGAGAAAAGACTTACTTGCCGCCACATCCACTGCATGATTTGAAGGAGCACAGAATAACACTTGTCCTCCATTTCCTTCTCTTCTGTTCAAGGCAGCAAGTTGATAGGCAACCTGTGCGGCAGTACAGGTCTTACCAGTTCCTACAAAGGCAAAATTTAGAGAGGTCAGCACTGCTTACTTTGGCAAAATAAACTGCGCCATACAGGAGTACAGCGTTTATTTGAACGCTTGTACGATACGTCTTTTTCCAGAGACAGTTAGAAATAGTGCCAGACGAAAGTGCTTTCCTTTAAATAGTTACATGGAACAGTGTTTCTTCTTAACATTTAAGAACGGCTTGAAAAAAAACTAAACGAAGGTACTGCTCGATCATCGTGAAACTTAGAACCACCTTAAATCAATCTGAATTGAATATCATAAGATACACGATTTCCATTGGTTCTGCTTTGCTTGGCACTGTGATTGGTGTACAGAATTGGCGTCTCCCTCTCATCCAATCAAATGCAAAACGAAAACCAATCGCGCACCGGCCACTTACATTTCCCGGCTTGAGGCATCAAACATGTTTTTTCTCTGAAGCCTTATTTCCCCCTTACGATATTTAATATAGTTCTGATTCGGTGCTACGACTAGTGTGGACGTAACTTTACGCTTTGGTGTACAAGACGTTACCATTTTAATACATGTAGGGGTAAGATCTATAGCAATGGCTTTGGCTAACCGAGCGCGAAAACGCACGAAGAACAAGTCACGCTTTATTTTCCGCGCGTGCTTGCTTCCGTTCGTCTCCTTTCTTGCATTTTCGCTGAGCGCTTCCTGCACAAGCTAATTGTTATGAAGGTGCTTTTACCTGGCGGTCCTTGTATCAGGGTGAAAGAAGAATTCACGGCATTCTTCACTGCTTCTTCCTGTCCAGGGTTGAGTCGTAGAGTAGTCTTCGTGTCTTCCTTCTTTTGTCCCTCACGCATTTGGACCCGCGCGAGGTATTTAGGAATGTTCCTCCTCAAGAAAACACTTCTGATAAGCTCCGTGGCTTCACCGAGGCGCTTGACTGCGTTTATCATACGGCGAAATGAGAGTCCTTGTTCGATGACTTCTATGCTGCACAGCCACGAAGTCTGATTCAAGTCCTCAGTGGAGAAGCCGTCCACTAAGTCCAACGTAATCGCGTCCATTTCGTCACGGCTGTCTACTTGCGTGACACAACAATGGACTATACAAGGCAAAGCGTGACATCGAAGACACAAGAAGTCACCAGTGGAGAGCTTCAGTCCACGAGCAACGCACAAGATCTTGGAAAGAGTAAACTCGCCAACTTCTACAATAAATGAAGATTATACCATAATTCTAGTTAACATTCACTGCACTCTTCTTTAAAATATTTTCATAGGAATAAAATAATTCTTGGCAGTCAAAAGAAGCCTCCGTCAATCCTGTCTTTAGAAGAAGGAATGATGCGAACAAGTCGAAAAGTCATCGCAACCTCAACCCTTCAACTCTTATGAGTGACAAGCGTCTAATTTCTCCCAACGTAATCAACCTTTGAATCACACATGAAGGTCATGAGAATAAAGGAAATGATCATCAACTACAGAGAAGGGCTTGATTGTTAGACAAATTCACCCTGTCAGCGCCTTAAGAACTATATAGAGATCTGTAAAGAGAATAAAGGGGTAAGTTTCTAAAGAAACTGTGGTGCTGCGTCGGTGGGAGAGTATAGCAGGTAATTTAGTGTTAACAACTGGGTTGAAAACGTAAATTAGCCACCGTAAAGGGTAAAAAAGCTGACGTTTCGAGCGTTAGCCCTTCGTCAGAGCGATGAGAATATACACACTAATATTAGGGTGAGAGTTCCTGAAAATTTTTGGTAAAATAGACAAAGATGTGTACCAAGGTTTGAAGAATGATAAAAACGGACGATATTAGTTGTTTCACGGGCGTGCGATAACGAAAAAATGTGGGTACCCCACGAGGAAGCGAAACATCGAGCCCCACAGCATTGGACTGCGAACCCGTAAGACTTTGGTTTGATTCCTTTAAGTCTTGGGGGACTGGTTCTTTTTTAATTTGCCCCATACCCGTGACAATAAAAAAGATCGCACAGAAAGGGAGGAATGTTTCAATTGAGATTCTAATATTCGAGAGAGGTAACTCACTTCCATTCCACTGAACAGAAACATTTTGAAGAATAACTTGACTGGCTGAATCTGAATTGACACTGGAAGTGACTGCTTCGCATTGTAGTAGTGGCAGCATAACTGTTTGATATTCTTTTGCGTCACTGTACGTTGCTTTGGTCGGTACCATCTGTGGAACTCCAAATGACTTTGTAGGATGACGGCGATGCTTCAAACAGCACACGATCGACTCGGTGAATCTAACTGCTAGGATGCTCGGCCTGGGAAGACCACGGTGTATTTCAGCACCTAAATAGACGGGAATTGTATTTCCTCTTTGGTAGAAGTTGGTATGCGCGCTCAAATCTTGATGACAGCCAAGTGAATTCATTAGAATGTGTTCTTCTGGAGCGCTGTTGCGACTAAAACTCGATGGTTTCTTCTCAACGCGGACCACAGCCTTTGCGTCACGATCGATCATTTGACGCTGTTGGTACATTTGATGGAGATCTTCAGAACGAAATCCCTGTAGAAATGTAAACCAAAGCTCTTTCGGTATCTCCAGAAGCTGTCGCGACACTTCCGAGGAAGCTTCATGCTGTGTAGAAGATGAATCATCGGGGACATCATCTTGACTGCACTCTGTTCTCACACTTTGGCCTGTCGCATTGATCTCCAAGATCTTCCAAGAAAGGACTAACTCTTCCTCCTCTGGCAGCCAGTCCCGCGATGTCGGCTTGCAATCATGGATCCTGACACAGCGATTGAAAGGAGAAATATGCTCGACTTCATCCCCTCCTAACTGTATGTAATCTGGTGCAAGGCAGTCCACCTTGGCAAGCCTCCATTTGGAGTCTCTCTTTATCATTTCTGCCCTCGACACCAATGCAAGTTGATTCTCAAACATGAAAATCCGTGACGTCATCATGTGGCACATCTCACAAATATTCTCCAGTTCTTCCTCTGTGTAAGGCATGTCGTGATTTTCAAGAACAGCCAATAAAAGACGATGAACAATAATGTCCATGTAGCGTCGTATTGGCGACGTAAAGTGCGTGTATGAAGGTACGTTGAGGGAAAAATGGCGCCGTTTCTCAGGAGGTAGTCTCGAGGAAACGACGTAACCGCTTCGTTCTCGGATGGATGTTAAACGACTCAGAATTTTACCAACACCAGCTTTGCTGTCGTGTTTAATTAACGCAATGGTTACCTTTCCGATATCTTTTTCATCTAAAGCTGCAGATACTTTCTCCCACGTCTTCAAGCTAATGTTCACACACTCGTCGCCGCTTTGATGATCTTCGTGACCGGAAGGTTCACTAATGCATTGCAGACCTAGGTACTGCCTCGGTTCCATACCTTTCTCGATACAAGAGTCGTTAATCTCTCGCAAAAGATGGGTCTTAGGGGGTAACTGTCGACGCACTGGTACTAGTGTTTTGGCAATAGGGCTTTGCAGCAGTCGTTCTGCAACTGCGCAGTTGGTCCAAAGCATAAATTCTTCAACCATCTTTTGGGAAGATAACACGCCTGTTTTAATTACATCGTGTTCTAGGGATACATAGCCTTGACGCACTCTTCGCGCCCACATTTTTAACGATAGCCGACCCAGGATACCGACGCCCTTTTGAACGTGTTCAGGAATGTTGTCGACCTTCTTACCGTCAAGGACATCTTGGCACTGATCATAGCTTAGCTTGCAGCAAGACGCTACTATACTGCGTTGAATTTCAGGTCGCGCTACTTCTATTCCTTCTTCATTTAAGTGAAAGATAACTGAAACTGCCAACCTTTCTTCACCCGGATCTAAACTGCAAAGCTCCTTGCTGACGTAGGATGGCAGCATGGGATTGTAATAGGACACTTCATTAGAGCCATACACAGAGGCTCCATGTGATAGAGCTGCCTTGTCCAAGGTGGAATTCTTGGTCACAAAGAAAGACACATCTGCAATGTGGACACTAACTTTGTAAGTTCCATCGTGATTCCGACAAACCTTCATCGCATCGTCAACCTCGACGCACGAAGCGGGATCGATACTGAACACATCTTCAAATTGCACTCGCTTGGAACGCTCTGTCTCGGGGATTCTCCATTTAGGAGGGAACTCCTTCTTGACTTCACTCTGGATTTTCTTCGAATGCGGTTTGTGGACGCCATGTTCTGCGAGCAAAACTGAAATGCAGAGACGTGGATCACCACCTTCGTTGAAACACTGCACAACAAAGCCGAGGGGAAAGCGGTAACTTGCTCCCCATTTCATGAGCTGCACCAGAAACAACTTCCCTTCCGTTTCCGTCACAAAATTTGTACAGTTAGTTCTTTTATCTCTCATTGCGAAAACAGCCACCCCAGTCTGCCCTTGATGGTCTCTGCTTCGTAAGATGACAAACTTGGAGTTGCATCTGTTAATGGGCGTCATTACGTTTCTGTCTTGGCTGTCCAAACGGCAAACTACTTTCCTGGGATGAATTTCCTTCAGAATGGCCACCACTTTACCTTGAGGATCACCTGTATCTCGGTCCTTGTTGGTGATCTCCACAGCGACCACATCTCCATTGAAAGCTCTGTTTACGTCTGCTCGGCTATTGATGCGGATGTCAGGCTTATCTGGGTCACAAACCTTAGCAATGGCGGTATTACCATCGCTGTGGTTATCAATCTGTAGAGCACAAGCCTCGAGTTCACCTAAAGCGACTTTGGACTGTGCCTCTTCCCTTTCCAAGTGTTCTTCATTGATGGAGTAGTTCTCAATGTAAACTGTGCTCTCACTGGGCTGTAGGATCCATCCTTGTAAGGGCGGGGCTTTCTGTCCCTCACCAATAGACGTCGTGGCACTGTCACTGCAAACAGGCGAAGAACCGCCTCTGATCGATGCCGGAGGAGAAATGGCCTCTTCCTCGGAATCATTCTCTGTTCTGGATGTCAAAGTTTCAAAAGCTTTGATATAATCTAAAACGATGGGATCTTTCTGTTGTGCCATGAACCATTCTTCTGTCTCAGAATCTTCATAATCGTCTTCTGGGTAGATTCCATCCGAGTCATCGAGGTTCGGGCGTGCCACAGACCTCCCACCATTATCACTATGGTTACTATCAGATTCCCCGCCATTCATGAGACTGGTAAGAGCGCTGTGTAAGGTTTCACGATTCTGAAGGAGTTTACTTTCCTTCTCAATCAGATTAATCTGTCTCAAAATATTTTCTTGAACGGCGGAGTTAGTGGAGGAAGATTTCAACTTATTCAATAAATCTCTCTCTTTGTACAGCATTTCTTTCCTGTCATGCAAGCTAATTTGAAGCGACGATGGAAGTGACATCGGTGGTTCTTCTATGGTCAAGCTGGGCTGATTCAGTGTTTGATCCTTCTGTACCTTAGGGGTTGCATCGCGCAAATGGAATGAGGAAGGAGGTGTTGAACTACGCGAAGCTGAACGGATGTGTTCAGCTCCGTTCTGTGCTAAGAATACCCTAAGAGGAGGGCGCTGTGGTACAGCCTGTTGGGTTACACCCCAGGGAGCTGACGGATGTTGCAGATTCATCTGCTGTGGCAGAACAACCTGAGGCACAAAACCAATCGGTGGGTGTTGCTGAGGGGGATTTCTAACGAGCGGAACAGGATGCACGGGCAAATGAACAGGTTGTCTTTGCATGTAAAGTGGACCTTGGGGGCGGATGAAAATTGAAGGTCTTCCTGCGAAAGGACCATAATTCCCGAGGGGTGGACCTTCTTGTACAAACGGGACATTCCTCTGGTTTCCTGGCATGGGCCCTCGAGGAAAAACAGGGGCTGGTACGTCAGGGACCGCGTTGACAACTGGGATGTAAGATGGGTTATTCCTCGTTGGTGTACTCAAGGCAGTCGGACCTTGCCTCTGCACCTGTTTGCTCTCTCTTTCACTCTTCGCATCTTTCGTCATCTTGATGACCATTTCAAAAGCTAAGCGGTAGTGAAAGGTTTTATTGCTATTGCACCTGCCGAGGATCATCTTGAAACAGACGCGGCACTCCCCAATGGAACAGAGTGCCACAGGGTCCCCAATGATGACAAGGCGAAACCGTGCCCTAGTGATGGCAGTATTCAGTAGCTTGCAATCAGAGAGGAACCCCATGTTCTTTTTACTGCTGTCATCTGCGGTAGATGCATCGTAGGTTCTCACTGTGCTAATGAATAATACGTCAAACTCCAATCCTGTAAGGGAAATAAAAATTTCCCTGTATCAGTAAGTAATTAAGCTTCGGCTACTTCGTGGTCATAATAATACTTTTGAGCGAGTACTATAGGCTGTTGTACCGTTATTGATAACCAAACAGTTCTCAAATAGAGTGCATTTTGATTGAGTGTTGCAAAATCAAAACCATTCTAATCTCCAGAGCCTATCAGAGCAAAGGAAAATATCATAAGGAGCCAATAAGACCTCAAAGTATATATAAACAATCTCCCTGGGGCGCGGGAAAACGCGGGTGACCAAGTCGCCAATGATTGGTTGAAAACGTGGCGTGAGTTTTTTGGACTTATCACAATGCGACGTGATGTAAAACCATAGCAACCCCGGATTACTTTCGACACTCAATTGAAAGCTACTCTGTGTACTCGTAATATAGCGTAACAAGAGCAACCAATCAGTTTCGTATCCGATTTAAATTCCTTTACCGATATAGGTACAGAAAACTCATGGAAGAGAAAGGTTATTAATTAGGTCCATATTCAATCACTTCGTACATTGCAGAGATTTCTACCTTGGACATTAGTTACCCCCTCCACTTTAACGCCACCCAAGGATTTGGCTCGCAGGAGTCTTCTGATTTCTCTCACCTTCAAAATAAAACAACAACAACAAAAAACAAACATACATGTTTGCTATTGTTCGCTGAAGAACTATGGTGTGCTCCGACGGCATTTTCCAAATCATTGTTTCCCTCGCTGCTCACGTTCAGGAAAGGCATTGATAAATGATCACCAACTAACGCAACTCTTGATTGTTAAACAAATTCTCCTTGTCAGCGCCTTAGAAAATGGGGTTACCGATCAATTCATCAGCTTAAGAAACTCTTTACGGTGGCCAAAGAATAACAAAACCAAATCATCTTGTTGTTAGCCCCCCACTGACACAGCATCACACTTCACAGGATTACACTCTCACATGGACGACCACACTGCTACACAATTGAAGATTCTGTGATTCTTAGCACAACGACATATCAGATTCAGAAGAAATTTGAAAACATACAGCTGCCATACCTGTGTTGGATACGGAGAGAGTACACAAATGCGTGCTGGGTCAGCTTCTCCCCAGAAACGAGTTGGCCATTGATTTATCAATTCCTCCACACGGTCAGCCACTTCTGCCGCTTCTCCTCTGTTCAAAAAAGACGGCGGATCATCTGCGATTTCTTCCTGTCCATGAACACCATAGAAGGCGATAGGATACGGTAACTCACGAGGGCGCTTCAGTTTAGCAACGAGTGTGTCTTGGTAAAACAGATGAGATGGAACGTCCACAATATCATCATAGGCTCTGTAGTTTTGAAGCAATTGAACCTTCCATCTTGACATTGATGGATAAAGCTCATAGAGACGCACCAAGAGAGAGCGGCCGAGACCAAGTCGTTGTGAAACTGGAGACATGATGGGAGGGTTAAGCTATAAAAACAGAAAATAATAAAAAAGAAACTTTTAACTATCAGAGTGCCGACAAGTGATCCAGGATTGGATAGGTTTCGCCATGTGATTGGTTTTGAAAACTCGCGCTGTTTTCTTAACCAATCAGATTTAAAATAGAAACCGACTTGGTTACCCACGTTTTCCCGCCCTTTGTGCTGTTATTATTTTGAGCTCTCATTGGCTGTTCGTAGAAATTTTCCTTTCTTCTGATTGGCCGTTAATGACGCTGTGCTTTCGGTTTAACGCCGGACACACAATCGCAACGTTCTTTACACTGTCGTTGGTGTAGGAAACTCGCGTGACATTTTCAACAAATTAGATGAAAAACTTAAACCAAACGCGAGTTGTTTATTTGTTAGAGAGATGTTACACGCTCATTTTCCACTCGTAGCTTAACGTTATTATTAATAGATTAATTTCAATAGAGTGTCGAAAGTAAGCCGAGATTGCCATAGTTTTGCCTTACTTCGGTTTGTGATTGGTCCAGAAACTCACGTCACTCTTCCAACCAATCAGATGCAAAACTAAAACCAATCACTACTTGTTCGCTCGCGTTTTCCCGCGCTTTTGGTAGTTTGCCCGTTTTTTCTTGACTCCTCATTGGTTGATGATGACGCAAACCTTTGTTATGTCTGGCTGAAGGATAATTTTAGTTTTGGTTGCACGACAGTCAATTGAAAACTGCTCTAATACAAATAATAATTATTCATCGTTACCTGAAGATGATCTCCTGCCAGGACCACCTGCGTTTCAGGTCCTACAAAGCAAAGCGGGATGATCGTTTCTACTTCCATGGCTTGAGCAGCTTCATCAATGAAGATGTGCGTAAAAAATCCAGGAGGCAAATTAAGATTAGCCAGGGAGGCTGCAGTGACGAGAGTGGTCACCACAACTCCACGTTTCAGCAGTGAATCCGCGTCAGGCATTGCAAATTTTCCAGTGCGCCGATCCAAGAGACAATATTGAAGTACTGTGTCAGAGACGGTGCTGACAAAACGATTTTCCCAGCAAATGCGCAAGGGTTTGAACATCAAAGCTGAAATATTTGCGTTTGTTAAGTAAGGATGAAGATGATTTTTGATATAATGATCGGCTGCGCTGTTGGAATGAGTACAAAGTAGAATACGATATTTTGGTGAGCTTTTCAACTGAATCGAGATAAGCTCTTTGATGGCTTCAGCGATGGTCCTGGTTTTTCCGGTCCCAAACGGACCCAGAATCAACAAAGGAGGTCCCGAGCGAGGCGACAACATCTGCTTCAGCGCATAGGTTTGAGACTCGTTCAACAGCTTGGCACACGTCGAGTGATTTGTCCACTGTTCGCGAATTCCTTCTGGAACAGCCGGGAATACTACATCTAAGCTGACATTCTCTAATGCCCAGTGCATGAATTGGTACGTGTCCACGAAACGAAAGCACACAGAAGCTGGAAGTGATACTTTAGATCTCAGCCTTTCCATAAGCAAGGCGCTAGCACGCAGTAATACACGATTCTTTTTCAAACTCTCCACTACCACCTCGTACAGGAGAGGATTTGGCATGCCGTGTTGTTGCAATCTAACCAAAGCATGGCCTGCACGTCTGATTAGGAGAGTAGCATCATCCATGAGGTCTTCGTGGACTGGAAGGACAATAGTCACTTGGGACGGGTCAGTAGCACATGGTTGAGTACAATAGTGAAGATCTGAGCAATGTATGGTGAGCCTGGAATAGAACAGCACTTAAATTTAAAAGTGACTAGCATCTAAATTCTCCACACAATATCACCACTGAATCACACATATAAGGTCATAAGAATAAAGGAAATGATCACCAACTAAGAAGCTCTTGTTTGTTAAACAAATTCTCCTAGCCAGCACATTAGGAAATATATAGAGAACAGTATGGAGTATATACATGCTGATGTTAGGGTGTAAAAAACCTTAAACTATGCTCACTGTTTTTACAGTTTGACTGTCATTTCTCAGATAAAATTAGCATTTGATTTATGTTAACAAAGTCAAGGTTATTGCTGGGTATTCTAAAAGCATGATTGATGTACAAACAATTTTTCAACCTTGTCATCTGTCGCCGACGCTCAAATTCCTCGATGTGAAGGAGCATGTGCAGTCGCTGCTTGTACATACTGCGAGTCAAGCATTCTTCCAGGTGATCAAAATGACCTAATTCTAGAGTTGTACCAAGGCTGGGTGGGAGATCAAACTCAGATTTCCTTTGCACTGCCAAAAGAATAAAGTAGACACCTTAGAGTAAAGGTCAGAAGGCATGCAGATTGATGGTTAACCTGAAACGTTAACCAAAGAATTTCGGCTCTGAGAACAAGATAGGATATTTAAATTACTTAACCCTTTAACCCCTAGGAGTGGCTAATATCTAAATTCTCCTCACAACATCATCCCTGAATCAAACATTAAGATCATGAGGAAAAGGAAATGATCACCAACTAAAGAAGCGCTTGATTGTTGAACAAATTCTCCCTGTCAGAACCCTTGGAAATGTTAAGAAAACAGTATGGAGAATATGAATGCTGATGTTAGGGAGTAAAGGGTTAATTGACTTCACAACAGGGAGCCTGGCTGCGTGGCGAGAGCATCAGACTCACAATCTGGAGCTCTCAAGGCTCCACAACACCCAGAGCTACACTTCCTACCCTTAGAAGGTAGTGTATGGGCGCCCTCACATCCCCTGCCAACCTGTACAGGAAATATGCAGGCAACCAGGCCTGTGATATATTGTCCTTATCCAAGAAGATAATGGACTATAATTGGACTATATTGGACTATAATGTCCAAACATTGGCAGATGTTATAGCAAAGGTAGTTCATTCTCCTCAATTATTTTAAGACCCTGAGTGTTGATCCAGTCTGGGGCTTAAACCTGTGACCTCCCAAAGGGCAGTCTGGCATTTTACAACATGAGCTAACCAGGTGATTTCAGTCTCTTATTCATTGCACTTACCAATATGTTCTGTAGGGTAGTACATATACATAAGTGTATAATTAATAATGTAATTGAACTGTGTGGAGTGCAATTTGGGCTGAAATTATATGCATGATTTCAAAATCGAACAAGCGCGCAATGCAAGTTCAATTTGAAATCACAAGTATGATTTCAGACCAAAATTGCATGACATGAGGTTCAATTACCACTTTATTACATCCATTTTGAAATTGCCCAAATACAGGACTTGGTCAGTTCAAATATTTTATTGATGCAGTACTGAGCTGGTCTGAAATTAAATTCATGTCCAATTTTTTGGGGGAAAAGTAAGAGGTAAGAAACAAAAGTTGCAAAATTTGCCACATGATACTCTTTGTCTTTCATTTTCTTGCAATTTGAATGGTTACCTTAAACAAGCCTTAAATCTGATTGGTTGTTTGTTTTTAGTGTAGCCTCCTAATTGGCTGGAAAAAAGATGTGATTTAAAGCAAAAAATGGTGTGATTCATGAATAAATCCCATCAATTAGAGCCAATCAGATTACAGGGACCACCAGTGATTTCAAAATGGGTGTAATAAAAATAATAAGGCCTCTAGTTTAGCAGGCAAATATTTGCTTTGTATCATAATTTTATTGCCATACATGTAAGTGTGACTGTACCTTGAGTATCACTGGGATCAAAAGGCACAACTTGATATTTTCGAAGCCAGGATAACTCACTGTCATCTTCGCAAACCACAGGATGCTGGATTGTATGCAGCAAATCATTTTCTGGAGCAACAACCACTTCAAGCTGTCTGTAAACCAAGGGTTTCTCAGCAAAATCAAACACAATTCGCTGCTGAAAGCTGCCATAATGTGCAGATACAAAACGGAACGTGATTTGGTACGCTGTGATTGGATGGCCTGTGTTGTTTACCCATTCTTGGCACCCTGCTCTTAGGGTGCTGGCATTCACCTGAACAATGCTATACTCTGGGAGGTATGGATCCAGTGTATATACACGCTGCAACCTACACCACTGGCTGACACGACTCTGGAAGATAATCATTGTACACACTTATAATAACATACCTGAGATAGTCATTTGAGAGTTTCAAATTTCCGATGAACTTTCCACTCCAAATTCTTCCAACTTTCTACCATACAATTCTTATGATGTTGCTCCCAAGAATTACTTGATATTGTGAGGAGAAATTCTGTCTTGGTCACTCATGGGAGTTAAATAGGTTAAGCATGTTAAGTCTTTTAGATCATGGTTTTAGACAACCAATAGACTTGAAGATTTCTTATCAAGAGTGTTATTTAAGGTAATAAATGTTTTCCAGTGTTGGCAACAAGCCTTCTTAAATGTCTTAATTTCTATAAAAATCTGTTAACCTTTTAACTACCAGGATCTGATTATAAATTCTCCCCTCTAGCTGCTAGACATTTCCTGGTCAATTAGTTGCATGAATTTGCTGTTAGATCAAGATAACAACTTCTACCTGATAGTATAGTGGATGGATGTTGTAGGGAGAAGTTATATGTGAATCACTCCTGGGAATTATACCCTTTATACCCTTTCATCAGTATGCATATTCACCATACTGTTCTCCATACATTTCTTAAGGTGTTGACAAGGAGAATTTATTGAACAATCAGCAGTTTCTTTAGTTGGCAATCATTTCCTTTATTCTCATGAACTAATGTTTGATTCAGGGGTGATATTGTAAGGAGACATTACATTCTACACACTCTAAGGGTCAAAGGGCTACCCAGAAGATCGTCTATCTAGAGTAAACCTGCTAAATAGCTTGACTTTGTTTCAAAAGCTTGCCCTTAATATCTTCCTTCTCTTTTAGAATCCTTGTCTCCATTCAAAGATTTACGACTAACAGATGAAAGAAAGCAACTCACACTTGATGCAACTGTAAAAGTCCAGGTGACTGGCTTGTTCTTGTCAATGTGAGGAACGTAGAGTTTTTCATTACAAAGAATGCTGTGATTTGCACTAACTTCAACCATCTGTAAAAAAAACATAGTACACAAAATAGCATTGTTGTTTAATAAAGCATTTTGTCTCAACGAACATTTCGTCTAAAGGAATGATATGTTACTGAACCTTTAATTTGACAAAAGTAAAAGGAACTTAGCATTTAGCCTGCCAAGCAATTTTCTTTTGTCTAATTTCAATAGGTCCCAATCTGCTTTTTGGTACTCACTGGGTTGAGGAGGGGAGGGAAGACTGATTAAAGGTTTCAGATGAATTTTCATAAAAGAAATACAAGGCCTCATCAAGTGATGGTAAATTTTGGTGAGGGATTTTAACCCTTACCAATTTTAACCATTTAACCCCCAGATCACATTTGTAATTCTCCTTACTGTCAACCATACAATTATTATAATGTTAGTCTAGAGAATTTAGTATTGGATCAACTAATTATCCCCAAATTGATATTCTTCTCCATTCTCATCACTTATCTGGTTGATATTGTAATGATATTGTAAGGAGAAATGCTATCTTGGTCACTCATGGGAGATAAAGGGTTAATATAACCTGGTTACCAGTGGTTTACCACAAACAGTGACAGCTCTGTCTGCTGCCTATAAGACCTATTTCTGTTTAGCTTGTAAGCAGGCTCTCACGTTTGGATTTTGCCTTACGACACAGCTGCCTATAACACCATCTTAGGAAAAAAATATTAAAACATCTGATTCTATTCCATTTTTTTTCCAAATTAATTTTTGTCCAATAATGAAGTTCTTAGTGGGTAGAACTGATATGTAACAAATGCAACATAAGTATTCAAATGATAATCCTGGTAAAATAGGGAATTATTTTATTTTCAGTTCTACATTTTTTTTAATTTTAAAAAGACTATCCATCAATACTTTGGTACATGCCACACTGTTTAAGACAATCTTGGCACATACAGCAAAATTCAATTAATTTTTTTTCTCCCAAATAGATCAAACCTTGGAAAATACTTAAAAAGGTAATAGAAAAAAATTGTATCCTTAATAAAAACATGCATGATAAAAGCTAATAAAACACTAATATTTCAATTACCAAATAACTTTTAGGATAACCATTTCTTCTGAGATGTTCAAGTTCCTTTAACAATATTGCAGCACTGGACATAGTAGTTGATTGATTTTGTTGCAAATACACAATTTCTTTTTCGGTATGTGTCTATCAGCTGGTACTGTACATGTACCCAAACAAACAAGATAGATGACCAGTACACTGGCACTTTCCAGATTTGTAATCTGCTGACCTTAACACCATGACCATTTCCAAGGATTCTGTTAAGAAAGAGGAATAAGTTATTAACAACAAGCAACTTAACCCTTTATGCCATAACATCAGCACATTTATACTTCTCACTGTTCTCTATACATTTTGTATGGCAAGGACAATGACAGTTTTTTCTAAAGGTCAATAGCTTTTCAAGTTTAGGATTAATTCTTTAATAGTCATGTTTGATTCAGCAAGGATACATTAGTGAGACATTTGATTCTAGTTATCCTCAGGAGTTTAAGGGTTTATGTGTGATTCAGGCATGATATTGAAAGGATAAATTCTGTCCTAGTCATTCTTAGGGGTCAAGAGATTGGTGCAATCTCTGATCACTGTCAGTGGCCATCCCTAAGTTAACTAGGTTCCCATTAACCTGAGTTTCATAACAAATAAATAAACAAAGTCATGTACTACAAGTGAAGGGGTGGACTAGAACTCCAATTAATTTTTCATGCCATATAAAATTCTCCTTAAGTTCTACATAGAAATAGGCATTAAGTTGGAAGGAGAATTAAGCTGTCCGTCAGAAGTCACTTATGACTTTTTTCATCTACATATTTAACTATATCATAAACGTATCATAAGTAGATTCAATTTTTAAACCACCCGACCCATCCTGCCCAAGGCAAGAAATACTGCTACTTTTCAGGGACAGGAATTTAAATTTTATCCTACAGTTATCTCAAGGATTTTGCTGAGCAATTCCTGACATTTCACTAATGCCTATTCATTCATAATGTGGCATTTTATATAGCACATTATCTGTAATAATTTTCTCTGATGTGCTTTACAACACTTTGCAAGGAATTTGGCCAGACTGCATTAAGCCACTTCCTGAAACGAACTTTCATAGGTGCCCCCCAATTTTGAACACAAGGCTAGACCACAACACCTGGAACTACAGTGATTTCCCTACTCTTTGCAAGAAGCACGTGAGTTATTTAACATTCCCTGCTAACCAGTACAGAGAAGGTACAGGAGAGGGGGACTATGGTTTATCATCCTTATCTAAAAAGACCACAACATCCAACCATTTGCAATGTTATAACAAAGGCAGCACATTCTCCTGAGTAATTTTAAGACGCTGAGTGTTGGTCCAGTCACAGGCTCGAAACTCTCGACCTCCCATGGGGAGAAAGGTAATGTGTGAGAAAGTTTCTCGCCCAAGAACACAACGCAGTGACCTGGCGAAACGTGATCCAAAGTCCAATTAACACCTGTCAGTGTCACGACATAGATGTACGCTAAACCAGCTATTCCATGTAGTTTACACCTAACCAAAGGGTATCACTTAAATCGTTGTTTCACTGTTTTCTTTGGAAAATGAACAGCACTTAATTTCATAGCCCTTGTCATTCTCGTAAACATGTGGTTTCATCTCGGCGGGCATATTTCAATTATTAAATAATTTATTACCATATAAGTTCACCCTAGTATGATTCCTAGAGCACAGTGGTAAACTAAGTTAAATTAGGGCAACTTAACATCATCTTTCGTACACTCAATACACAGCTGAACAATGAAGAAGCAGCGCTTATAGCTTCTAGCAATCAAAAACTTACCTGAAGAAAAATATGCAAGCGAAGTTGTCCAGATTCAAGTTTAACGATTTAAGAGTACGTTCCTTAGGCCACGGTGTTTGTCGTTACAACTACACATTTGTAACATCTGGCTTCAAAACCACTGATATAAGATCAAAATAATTCAGTTATTCTTGCCTTGGACCAAATAACATGTCGCTCATGTTTCAGACAAAACAAGATGGAAAGCCATGTTTGGTGGCTGTCAGTTAGTGATAGTTACATGAAAGGAATATTTTGATATTTTTCGTTTCCAGACTCCTATCTTCTTCTTGTTCGAAGATGGCTTCCTCGGTTGCTACGTTGTCTACGTTCGGTTAAACTTCAATAATGCAATCACTTAACCTTTTTTCATGGATTTGCCTTGTACTTTTTATGAGGTACCTCTGCCTTGGTAAGATTCTACAAATGCATTAATGACCTAATCTCAGTTGAACTGCGGTTAACATCACTTTCTGCGATCAAATCTTCTTCAGGATTTTCCGGCGTAACCAACATCAGCGAGCTGTTGACCTCTAAAGATGCACTTGAAAATCGTTTGAAAAATTCCGGAGCTGAATGGCCATTTTGTGTTCTTTATAGAGATCCGAGTAAGTATCAGATAAAAACATTTTTTTTTTAATTCTTAATTCCTCACAGGAGTAATTTACATTCATATACAGTACAACCGCAAATAAATAATAAATAAATATGAAAATAGATAAATTAATAAAATGAAAAATAGTTTTTGACACAAAAACAGGAGTCCAAACCCGCCTTTTTGTAAGTTGCCATTAGGCATCCTAAAATCATGAAAGGGTTGCCAAAAATAACATTTAATTCCTGGACAGTTGATCCAAAATCATTTTTTGAAGTTTAACTCTGCATCTCACAAATTAATACTTGTACAATCAAGGAGACAGGTTACAGGTTACAAAATTGGTGATTTTCAATGCAAATACAGTTGCCCAAAATTGTTTGCATTCTCACCATGGCAACTAAAATTTCTACAGCTTGGGGCCTTGAAAAGTCAAAGGGTTGTGAATATTTTCTTGAACAACTCAGTGAGTCCTGTTATAAATATTCCTTTCAGAGATTCCTCCATCCAAGCTTGAGCAAAGCTTTTTAGAGTTTCTGAATAGTTTAGCACATGATAATCCTTACAAAGAATGGAGCACTGTAGCATTCAACCTTGACAAGGTATGTAGCAGATTACCTGATTAATTATTTATTTCTGAATGGATTAAGGATCATGGAGAATACTCAGATGTAATCACACTGTTTGCTTCATAAAATGTATCTTTTTTTTGCTCCTTTAGGGAATGTTATCATGGGAAGGCCACCCAGGTATGGTTCCTCTTCTTCAGTGCTACATTGGAACAGCTTCTTCACCATTGAGTTACCCATCACCTGACAGACCCCATAAAACAACCAGCTCATTGAGAAAATGGTTTGAAACTTTGGTAGGTGCAGTAGAAGGCATGTCATAAAGTTTAGGGTGGAAGCCCTTGAGTTGAACTATTTCTAGAGGTGAGGAAAGGGGGTGTATCTTTTGTGGGCAGGAAACTTAGGCCTTCTTAACAACCGAGATGGTTATCTTTTCCATTTGGATAAGGAAAGATATGATCTTCCTTGTCCTACAGACTACTGCAAAAATGGGCTTAAACTTGTCTATCATTTGACTTGGACATGTAATAATCTAATCTTTTTTCCATATTTCATAACTTTGCTTCCTATGACATTTGATATTATTATGCATGGTGTAGCCATTAATTTCCATACAAATGTAGCTTCTTGCCATGTACCTGTAGTAGTTGTTGTTGTCAAGTTTTTCGGACAAGTAAGCTTGTGATCCTGAAAATTAAAATAATTGCCACACGTCTGAAAGGATAACTGAGTTGAAGAGAAGGTTTCTTGCCCTGTTTACCTTGGCATAAGACATGAATTTTATTTTTCTTTTTGTGTTTTAATCTTAGACATAGGAAATTGAAATCCAATGATTTTAGGTTCAAGGTAAACCTTTAACTGCAAGATCTCTAAAGTAGATGACTCATTGGCTGTAAGAAAAATGAATTTTCAAAGAGCATGAATTCAAAACACACTCAAGACAAACATACTCAAAAACAATGCCTGTCATAGGATTTTAAACTATTATTGTGGGAAAAAGGGCCTTTAAATAGTTAAATTTGTATTGAACCCTTTGTTTAAGATACATATTTGGAATCATTGAACAAGGAAAAACTGAAATCAAACTATTGTTGATTCAATTAAACTTAAAATCATTTTAAACTCCTTCACGTGTATTTTCAAAAAGACAATAACATGTCCAATAACTGTTTTATTATTATTTTTTGGTCGACAGAGGAGGATGTTTTCCAAAAGGCTGTCACCATTCACTACAAATCACCTATCTCAGGAAGTTGGTAGTCATAAAGGTTACACTTTAGTGGGAATTCCTGGTCAGTTTTATCACCAACAAATAGAAAACACATTTAAAAAGGTCAGAATAATATTGAATATTAAATATTTAATAACTATTTATCAATGATTCTGTCATCATGGAAGATGGAGTTCAGCTAGCTGACTTTCCATAACTAGGTATGATTACCTAGTTTTCATGATGTGTTGTTGGAGTTCTAATTATTGTAAGCTGTTAACATACCTGTGTTTATGTTTTTTCTTTCTACAGTTGGCTAAGATTTGGGAGGAAAAGATACAAGTGTTTGTTGTTATTCCATCCTCAGATGTTGAGGAGTAAGTTTTTTCACTCCTAGTCATGACCAAAAAGACATTTCTCCTTAAAATATTAATTCCTTTTCAATTAAAAAGAAGATAAGTAAAAGTTAAAAGATATATCTTTTAAAATGGTGTAGCTAATAATTACTACAAGTTTGTAAAATTTTTATAAAATGATGAATATCACTAATACTTGTGCTTCATTCATGGTGACAGATATATGATTGAGGCATACAACATCAGCAAGGTTCCTGCCATTGTAGTGTTCAACTCTCAAGGTTGGTCCACAGATTTGATCTTCTTGTTGCCTTGTAGATTTTGCACTATGGGTACTAATATACAGCCATCCACAGAATGTCACTGTTTATGATTTATCAAGAAGAGAAGTTACACTGTTAAAGAAAAAAAAGGACTTCATCATGTTTGTTTTATTTTAATGTTTTCCTTAGAGTGGAAAGAAAAAGGAAAGTCTTCATTAGTTTTACAAAGTGTTCTTGAAGTAGAAGAGAGAAGACTTCAAGTTATGCTGGTCACCCTACACAGCCAAGCTTACCAATTGAATCTGGTCAGTTTGTAATTTTTTTAAGAACTTTTTTTTCTATGCTATGACATGTGTAATGCTCAGTTATATAGTAATTTGGTATTATCAACTGAGTTGAGAATGAAAAATTGGCCACAGTTAAGACATTCAAAGCTGACATTTCAAGGGTTAGCCCTTCATTCGCTCTGGCAAAGGGCTAACACTTGAAAGGTCAGCTAGGAAACTCTTAATGATGGCCATTTTACATTATCAACTCAATTGATAATACCAAATTACCTTATTACACTCTTCCACCAATGCATCACCACAGTTTCTTAAGAAACTTACCCTCTTTGCTTAGTTACTTACCTAAGTATTAAACAACAGGAGATTTATTGAGAGATAAGGCGTGCAGTCATTGTTTCTTAACACACTTCTTTTACCTTCTTGACCCAGTATGAGATCAAAAAGTCTATATGAATGTTATTCTCTCTAGGAGGAGGGCTTGGCAGACAGAAAGAACTGGCTTGAAATAAACCACCTTCTCCCCTACCCCCTCCCCTCTTCCTTGTCTCCTTTTTGGCTCCTTCCCCCTCTCCCTCTCTTGAGAGCCTTCTTGATTCAGTCTACAAGTCAATACAATCTCTCTCTGTTGTTCTTGTGATTAGTTTTTAGACTAATAATTAGGAAATAAACTCCTTTGTCAGGTTCTTAAAGCCAGAAAACAGTACAGTGTTTGAACCACAGACTAGCTTATGCTGAGATTTATAATATAATCTTTGTAATTGTGTTACTTTGATAGGATAATTTCTTTGATGAAGTGTTGGAGACAAAACATCCACAGCTGCCCATAGTGGTGTGTTTTTATTCTCCAAGAAGTCCACGAACCCTTAATTACTTGGATGCTTTTCATCGATCATATGACACATTCATAAGAATGAAACTCCCAGTGCGATTTGCAATGCTCAACATCATGAGTTACCCAGAAGGTAATTAGTATAAGTTACAAATATATGGTTAAAAAATAAGTAATGTTGATGAAGTCAGTCCTTACAGAGTTAAATAAATAGTGAAGACCCTTTAGCTTATCCACACCCATAAGCGATCGTAACTTCTGTAATGAAATGTAACCTCTTCTTCTTAGAAACATTCCCCTTTTTGGTAGAAGGGGGGGTTCTATATCCCGTCTTTCACCAACAACACTCAGAAGCTGTTGACACATAACTTCTCCTTATGATATCAAAACAATATCTTGTAAACAGGTGACAAGAAAAGACAAATTTATCAGCAAAAGGCTATTATCTTGATGCAATTCCAAATTCTCCTCACTTGCTTAAAAGGATGTGTGTAGCAGCCAGAAAAGAGAGTCACAGATAACATCTTGAGATTCAAAGATTGAAGAGAGTTTTGAGTGTATCAGTAAACTCTAATTGATTATCCTTTAAATCCCAAGATCTGATTGTTAATTCTTCCTTCTAGCTGTTACACATTCCCTTTTAAATTAGAGGCAAGAATTTGGTGTTAGATCAAGAGAACAACCTCTGGCTCTACCTGATATGTTTGAGTATCTCATTACCTGTTTGCTGTATAATGAATGGATATTATAGGGAGAAGGTACATGTAAATCACTTCTGGGAGTTAAAGGGTTAAACTAACAGATATCAAGTACAGCCTCATGTTAGGAATTCAAACCTTCTTTGTTATCTTGATATGAATTGTAAACTAATGGAATGTATATTCATACATGTCTGATGTAAAATTTATTTGTATTGTTCAGTTGTCCTGAGTGACTTTTCTTTGGCCTTTTTGCATACACTGATGAACTAATCAAAAGTAATAATAGGGGTTAATTAATTTATTGCAAATCTTGGAATTATAAAATTTTATTGTCATATTATCCAGTGATAGCAAGATACGTGATTGCATCAGATGTGTACGCTGTCCCTTTTACCATCGTTTTCTGGCAGGAAAGAGAATCGACATCACAGAGTAAGTTTTAAGTAACATCTTCTCATTCCCTGTTGCTTATTGCTGTCTTTAGTTTTGCATTTTGAATAGGACCATATTTCTTTTGTATAAAGCTGCAGATGAATAACTTTTCACAGTGCTCAGAAGACATTGTGTAATGTGCCTAAATGTAATATTTTTAACTTGGTTACAAAAATGTATTTTTTCAACAGGGTTTATAATTAAACAACAATTATATGACAAGGATGTTCCCACTCCACTACTTCTTTATGAATTTCTGCAAACATTGCCAGTTGTTGTGCTTCCCACTGCACCAGATGATGATGATGATGATGATGATGTTGATGAAGTCTTTAATCCATGGAAGGAAAGTGATGACGCTAAGGTTAATAACACAATTTGTTTCTAAATTTTGTGTTTCTATATATTAACCCTTTACACCCTAACATCAGTATGCATATTCTCCATACTGTTCTCTAGACATTTCCTGAAGCGCTGACAAGAGGAATTTTTCTAAAAATCCATAGCATTAAAAGTTGATGTCTTTTCCTTAATTCTCGTGACCTTAATGTTTGATTCAGGGGTGATATTGTATGGAGAAATTAGAAGCTGGTCACTCTTAGGGGTTAAAGGGTTAAGAGACTAAATCTGTGAAAGGTTTGCATGACGTTCATTGGAGATAGTTTAGCAGTTTGGCAGTGGCTGTTCAAATTAGATTATTCTTTTGTGGTATGTTTGTGTTAGATTTTTAATATGGAAAATAAGTTGGAATTTTTTTTTTGGGATCACACTTGATAACTCATAGAGAGACTTTTTTTTAATATGGAAAATTAGTCTTTTTTTTTTGGGATCACACTTGATAACTCATAGTAAAGTGGCTTTTGATATTATAAATAAACTACCAGACGCGTACATGGGGGCCATTCCATGTTGAGCATGATAAAATCGTAAGTGAGACATGAAAATCTCATGAAGGCATATTCAGGGGAAGATCCAGGGATGTTGGATAGGGATTCATTCACAACTGATATTCTGGGTCAACTATCATTGAATCCGAATGTCATCGAAAACGTATTTTCCAGAAAGTTTGCAACCTTGATATATCAGAAGACAAGTGTGTCGAAGGAGATAACAGCACTGTTACAGATTTTGAGCACAATAACGTTATGTTTGGACCTCCTTTACCTCCACCTTCCTGGCAGACAAAGGTGATCATTATCATTGTTATAACTAAATTGTTCTCCTCCTTTCTAATCTTGGTCTGATAATGCTTGTCGTGCAGTTTCCTACTAAGGATTGTGTCGCAAACCAAAATAACGCTACTTCCATCCTAGACATTTTATGTGCTATCAACTACCTGTACCTCCCAAATTAGCCCATGAAGAAGTTGTTGTACCCCATTCTTTTGGAGTAATTTTGATTTAGTAAGTTTTCACTTAGGTTGTGTCGTTCTTCAACGATTTCACCCGCATGAATACCATTAGAATTAGCTGTTACGATGTTATTGGTGTAAGCAGCTGTACCATGGCTGCATCATCTCAGCCGATCAGAAACAACCAGTCACGACTTGGTCACACGCGTTTTCCCGCGCTTCAGACCTGTAACGTGTATTTGCTCTATGCTCTGATTGGTTCTTCGTGATATATCTCTTCACTTTGATTGGTCATTATAATAACGCTTTTCACTTTGATTGGTCATTGCAAAAACGCTCTGTTTGTTTGGTCACAGCACCTTCTGCAGCCCTTTGCATGACTACTACAATCATATCTGTTTGAACGTGTTTCATAGGCACAAGTTCAGAAGAAACAACAGAAAAAGCTTCAGTTTCATTACGTGAATGATAAAACCTGGTCTTCTCTGGTTGAGCAATCCGTTGGTCCAGTCAAGTCGTACACTGCCGCAGCTTTTCCAACCATGCAAACTTCTCGTCTGTTTTCTGTATCTTTGGTGAGTCATCAGACATTTAACCAGTGTAACATACATGTAGAATACATGTAGCCCTTTATTTTAATGAAACTGTTAATTTACTCCTCCAGACCTCTGATATCCTACACGGAAACAACTAACGAAACTTGACGCGTGTTCAACCGCGCAAAACTTTTCGCGCGCTTTTACCCGCCATTGTCACCTCTTACTTCGCTCAACAGACTAAGTATGAAAATACAAAGTGACTGACTTTGATGTTAGGAAACAATAATTTAATTATTTAAGCGGAATAAGAAAACTGAGTTTTGTCTTCGTAAGGAATAATTAGTTCTTCTGTGGATTTCATATAGATTGTGTTTCTTCAAGAGGGCTGCAGCTACTGCAATCAGGTTTTACCAACAATTGAACGAATATCATCGGACGCCAAGTATTTAGGTATGTGTTATAGTATTAGAGCAATTTTCCACTGAATGTGGAAAGTAATGCGGCATTGCTCTGTTTTTGCCTTACTTCGCGCTGTGATTGGTCCAGAAAACTCGCTACACTCAATCAACCAATCAGATGGAAAACTAAGACCAATCACGACTTGGTCGCCCGCGTTTTCCTGCGCTTGAGGCAAGTCGGATTTTCTTTGAGTTCTCATTGGCTCATAGAGGTATTTTCCTTTCTTCTGATTGGCTTGTATGATTACTTTGGTTCGGTTTAACGACATTCCGTCAAAAGAGAGTTTTTAAAAAGTAGATAAGAAAACAAACTTTTGGGTAGATGTTGTACAGCATGCTTCAAGCGTAGCTTTGAGTAATGAAAGTGGGATTTTGGCTGAGACGCAAAAATCGATTAAAGATAGAGAAGCCGAGTTCGCACTGTTTACTAGTCTTATTGGGTTACTGCTACTTAGTAAGCTACATAACTTGCACTTCTTTTCGTTCCAGGGGCGTCTGTGTTTGTACACAACTGTTCAACAGACCCTCTAACGTGTCAGCGGTATGGCGTCACAGGTTTCCCAACGCTCACAGCTTTCCGCAGTCTGAGCTGGTCTGCAGTCGAGAGTTGTTCAAGTTCTCATTCAACTTACATCAGGCTGGACTACCACGGACCGATAATAGTGAGTCATACCTTTACAGAGTGATTGTTAACGTAGTATTCACATTGATGATTGAACGGGGCTGTCTTTTTTGCAGCCTCGGAAACATAAATAGCATAATACAGGCTCTTTGTCAGTGAAGAGAGCGAGAGACTAGCGCGCGAAACATGGCAAGTAAGCGGACGAGGCGGTTGTGGTTGTCAAGGGAAAAGCTGTGTTTTTTTTGCATTTTTTTTCGTGCTCCCGTTCACTTCGTGTACTTTTTTTTTTGCGCGCTCACAATTTGCTCGTCGCATCACTGACTGAGAGCGTAAAAGAGGCTAAAAGATACTACACATAACGATGTAGAGGTGAAAAGTTATTCCGTCGATCCTTTTGTGGTTAGGCTCTAATGAAATATAAAATTCTCATAAACTCTCTCAACCCTTTGAGAGTGAAAAGCATTTAAATTTTCCTCACAAGATCACCCCTGAATCAAACATTAAGGTCACAAGAGTAAGGGAAATGATCACCAATTATTAATAAAGCTCTTGATTTTTAAACAAATTCTCCTTGTCACCACCCTAGGATTTGTGTAGAGAGCAGTACTGAGAATATGCATACTGATGTCAGGTGAGAAAGGGATAAGGGCACTTTGGCGTGGTTCGCGCTGACAAAGATGTAAAATTGTACTCTCAATATTAGAAGCTGCGACATGAGTCTAGGCTATATGTAAAATTAGATATAGAAGTTTTCTTCTCTTTTATTTTCAGGCAAAACTTGTACTTGAGTGGTTATCCAACGTTAGTCAGCCGGCTGTGGATAGAAGATACTTATTCGACTCCATTCCTGAAATGGTATCTCTTTTATTGCCTTTCTTTAATTTATAAGGAAGACACTGACAGCTTTAGCGTTTCAGTCTACGCCTCCTGGTGTCATAACGATTTTAAGGCACGTGGCGCTAGAAGTCACTCACAGCTTTACAGCATCCAAAACAATCCTATGCCCCATTCACACTAGAAGAACATGTTTAGTTAACCAGCTTTAACTGAATAAAAAATTAGCAACAGAAAACTGAAGGACTAAATGGGATACAGGGCTCAAGGAATCAAAACGTTTTCTAACCGTGTTTGACAAAACAGCTTTAAAACGTGTTTTAACTTTGGTGTGAATGCGGTATTAGTTCATTGACGCTTATCACAGATGCCCTGATAATGCTATTTTAAACAGTGTTCAAAACATTTTCTAAACAGAATTCCTCCTTTTGCTTAGTTTGCTGTATCTAAATTACTTTTGGCTCAAAATACTTCTTTAACAGATATAGAGCTGTAAAACTTGCTGCTCTCTGAGCCATTCAGGTGCAAATATACCAAAATCAAATGCGTTTTCTAGTTTACTCTCGATCTTTTGATGTTGAGCTCTGGTTGGTTTGTCACGTTATAGTGCCATTTTGAATTGAGTGTGTAAAGTAATCCGGGATTGTCTTGGTTTATACTCTGTGATTGGCCCGGAAAAAAGTTGCTCCACTTCCTCGAGCAATCAAATACAGAGTTGAAGCCAAACGCGATCTGGTGTTTAGCGTTTACCCGCCTTTCAGGAAGTTCAAATGTTTTTGCTGTGACCTCATTTGTTATACTTTTTGTTGTTGGTTCTGATTGGCTGTTGCGATCTCTTTGGTTTTGCTTCTAGACGGTCGGTTTAAAAGCGCTCTATAAGTACCTATCGTTTGGCAGAATGTGAAATTTTTAGTTCGAATTAAGTAGAGCGACCCCGACCCCCTCTGACGAAGGACTAACCCTTGAATCACTCTGTAGAGGGGCTAACGCTCAAAACGTCAGCCTTTAAACTATTTACGGTGGCCACTTTACGTTATCAACTCAGTCGATAATAATAAATTACCCTGTTATACCCTCCCACCGACGCAGCACCACATTTTCTTCAGAAACTTACCCCCATTATTCGATTGTGTTTCCTTTTCCTAAGGATATGGACGTCAGGTTGATTGGCACGCTATACACACGGACTCTTGCTCGCCGCTATCTTGCCACAACTCTTGCCAACAAGTGGTACCCTTTTCACTGTTTTCAACTGGTTTGTGAGCTTCTGTATGGTCGCGTACCTTGCTTTGCGATTTACACCAGAGATGTTGTTGATGATGGAAGGAAAACGAAAGCAAAAGATCAAGATCTTGTGCTATCAAAGGTACACTCTATTATTTACACCAATAGATTGGCTGCTCCGTAATAGCCATAACTAGTCTAAGGCGGGTCAGTATAATTAACAATGGTAATAGGACCGAGGGGAGTCCAATTCGGTTTGTAATCACACGAGTGATTAACAAAATCGGACGACCGCGAAGCGGAAGTCCGCTTTTTTAATCACGAGTATGATTACAGACAGAATTGGACGGCACAAAGTCCCATGACGCGTTCTGTCCACTTACACAGGCATGACGTGTTAACTGTCCCTTTAACTGTCCTATTACACTGTCCAATTACAAGCATGACACGCACACTGTCCTATTAATGCTCAAATCAGGCTGGTGATAACCAATCACGTTCGAGAATTTTGTTATAATTTTGATTAAGATTTAGGTAACTGACTAAACTGTCTAAGCTGACTGCCTAAACTAAATTTTATTAGTGTTGGGAAAGACTTACAATCGAACAAGAAATCGTTTGAAAATCATTGGGTAAAATCTCTGATATTACATTAGGATTTGCAAAACATCATGGAGTGTTTTTCGGTTCTGTTTGTAAAATAACGAATTTTTTATCACTGTTATCCGGGTTTTTTTCGTGAAATAAAAAGCAAATTGAACTTTTAAACTTTTGGAACTCGGCTTCTCGTGCTAAGGGTTTTAAAACAACATTCTCATTTGGATGTACAGGTAAAAGAGAAAATTAAAACACTTTTTGAGACGTAAAAAAATCATGTAGAAAACTATTTTATTACTGCGGTACGGTTTGTTCGTAAAATGCTTTTTTGGTTCTTTTCTCACGAAAAGAAAGACTTGCTTACGATTTTAGGTCGACAGCGGAAGTTGACGAAAATTTCGAACAATTTTGCCAACATCTTTTTGATAGAAAACGCATTTACGCATGGATATCTTTTTCTTTGTTTTGTTCTGTTCTTTGTTGTCGTTGTTTTGTTTTGATTTTCCATATTTGCTTTAGAACATCTCTCACTTTTATCGTTTGTTGTTAGCTTGAGCTTCAAAGAAGCGATGGTGTTAAAGTAAAAGTTTTTCAGTTGGGTCAAAATTTGGAATCTTTGATCAACAATCAAAGGGACACCAGACTGCACATGTTTCACGACACTCACAGGTTGGTGCCGTCCAATTTACTTTCTCACAAGTGAGATTAAAGCGGAATTTCTCCTTACAATCTCGATACATTTTAAAGCAAAAGGGAGACGAGAAGAATGTAAAATATCATCAAGGGAATATCGTTTCATTCAACGCTAAAATCTCGGTACTAAAAATTTTAAATAATGGAGGATAGACATTACTGAGAATATATATTTGGCTCTTGGGAATGAAAGGGTTGAATTCATGTAGACATTTTCATAATTTTTAAATATATTCTGTCCAGATAATACGAATTCATGGCATGGTGTTAAGAGCGCTCGTTGACGTCAGTGTTGCGCGACTACTCCCCCCCCCCCCCCCCCACGGATCTGACTTAGTTTATAAGGGTTCGTGCAAGAGGTTCTAGCAGTGCACTTTGACTCTGATACTGACACTGCAGTGGCAGATCCAGCATACCCTTAGGGGTATAACATCAACATTCTTTCAATGACAGAACCGTAATAACCAATACGGCGGCTGTTTTGTGTTTTTCATGTGTGTAACCGCGAGTGAAGTTGAGGTAAGGGGATGAAGGTTGGTCGAGAAGTAATTTTAGACTCTCCCCCCCCCCCCCCACCCTTTCAGCGATGATTTTTCCTTGACCCGACCCTCCACTGACTGTATTTCTTTCTAGGACCACCCTTACCTTTAATAACACCTTTTCTGGATTAGGATTCTTAAATTCATACATTTACAGATACGAAATGCCCAAGAACTTCAAATGTGAATACAACCACAAAATATGCACAGATATTGCTTTGCGCTTTGTTCAAGATCACCGAAGACTTCCAGTTCTTCATATGACCTCAGCTGCATTTCACACCAAGTTGGGGTAAGTATGTAAAACACTTTCAGTTTAGACTCGAAAGTTATTTGAGACTGCTTTGCTTTTTTGCTCTGTGATTGGTCCAGAAAACTCGCGCCACTCTCTCAGCCAATGAGATGCAAAACTAAAACCAATCACAACTTGGTCGCCCGCGTTTTAGATTGTTTGGTTGTTTTTACTTTGAGTTCCGCGAATTTGGAGATGCAAAATCAAAAGCAGTCCTGAATTTGTCACCCAAGTTTTCCCAAGGGTTGGTAAATGTGATGTCACCCGTTGCTCTGATAAGCGGTTGGTGGGTTGCCATAATGGAAAGGATATAGTCAGGAAAAATTATTTTAGGAGTGCGGTTTACGCTTGACTGGCTGGGGCTTTTGAGTTAGCCCTGTACACCCTAACATCAGCACTTATATTCTCCATACTGTTCTTTATACATTTCCTAAGGTGCTAAGAAGGAGAATTTGTTGAACAATCAAGAGCTTCTTTAGCTGTTGATCATTTCCTCGTGTGTTTTGATTCTGGGGCGATATTATAAGGAGAAGTTAGATGTTAATCACTCACGGGTCACAGGGTTGGGGCTGTTGATGTCGGAAAGGTCGGAGTGGGTGCAGAAGTTTTATTGAGAATAACCTTCGCAAAAGCAAAGACTATTTTCAAACTTGATTTTTTTTTCATCAGAGTGGGGGGACGTTTGTGAATTCAGTCCGTCATTTCGATAGCTCCTTTAATAGTGGGTATTTTCTTTCCTTTCAGATCTGAAGAGAATGCGAACTTCGAACCTTATGCACACAACTTGCCCATACTGTTCGCACTGGCACACAAGAACAACGTATCGAAAGACAGCTCGTTTTATAAGGTGAGGAAACTTAACGACCAAAGAATCTCGTTACCATGCTTGCTATGCCGTTCGTCAATAGCTCAGTCTCCCTGGTAATGTCACTTGCAGCCGATGTTGGGTTATGTCACGCAATGCACATTGCCGGACCATGGGAAGAGAACACCTTGCGTGACTACGCCGATCAACGGCTGCGAAGAAGAACACATCTTTCTTATTTTTTTGTTTGCGTGTTTTTTTCAGGAGCTCCTAGAATCAGCTTACACATTGTACAATGAAATGGTGTTTGTGACTTTGGATATAGACGAGTTTGCGCACTGGGCGAGTCGTTTTGTACCTCGAGATTACCATGCCAAGCATGCTTTTGGTAAGACGCCTCTTTCCTTCTCTGAGTTTGAGTCTTTGTGGCTTGACTTGGCTTAGCTCAGCTCAGTATTTATTCAGACGAAGTTTGAAAATGAATGGACGAAACAAAACTAAGTTATCTCTTCGACATGTACTTACTTTTACTCATAGACTGTTTTCGTTTTAATGACACTCTTTCGAGATGCGCTCCACTGCAATATTTCATAGCTTGTGAACCTGCGGGCAGGATCTCGTCAGCTTGTGAACAGGCTCTAGTTGGAAGGGCCGAGAAAGAACTGTCCTCTATCCTCTAGCAAAGTAGTCGGTGGGGTGGGGGTGGAGGGGGGGGTCATAAGGAGAGCCCTCACCCTCCTAGCTTCAAACCCATCACTTCCCCCTCTCAGACTGTTTTTTGCCGCCTTTCTCTACGCCCCATCTTCGGCTTAAGATTTATTAGGTCAAAGGATAGTTTCTGCTTCGTGACTTATTTCTTGTGCGAGTATGATTTTTTTCTTTTTTCTCCTTACTCAGGAAGACAAGCTGAGAACGTCCCCCCCTTGTACCACTATCCTCGGCTATGTATCATTCAACACGACGATCATCAACATGCCGCTTTTTATCCTCCTATCGAAGAGCTACATGGTATGGGGACTAGAATCCAGGCGCGGCTCAATCAGATAACTTCCCAGCAGATTATAAAGTTTGCTCAGGATTACCTAAAGGATCCTTCGGCGTTAATTGTAAAAACAGAATATTTTTAAATTTAATTGATATAGGACGATTTTGAAATACAGTGGAACTTCTTTTTATAACACCTTTTTCAGGGGCATCCCTATTCAAGGAAAAGAACCTGTGATCCCGATTGTAAAAATGTTCTCATAGCTTTAGAAAGAGACATCTTAAATTCAGGGAACTATTTTTGTAGTACCAAGGGTGCCCCCCTGAATTGAGATTATTCGGTATATGTTAACTCTATACAGGGGATTTTTTTATGGTCCTAGGGGTGCCCCTGAAAGTAGGTTCCACTTTAGCCTCAGGTAAATTATAATGGCTAGGTTATAAAAGTATTGCTGAAACTTTACTCCTCTTCTGTGTAGTTTCAATCTCATGTACTTTCTTTAGGCAATATTCAAAGGACAATTTTTTTTGCACAAAGCACACGCAATGTAAATAACCAAACAATTCTGCTACTCCTTGTGAAACAAGATATTTATTTTTATACGTATTTATTCAAGACGTAGCTTTAGTGGTTCATAACTTCTTTTAATCTGTATCAAATTAAACTGCGCTTTTTTATCACTGTTGCCCCATTCTGGATCTTTTCACCGTTCCTCTGAGAATCTTTTAACAGGAAATTTTACATGGTGCCTTGCAGGTCTTGAAGCCTTCCAAATATTTTTTGTGCAGTTGTTCTCATTCGGTCGACATAACCCCAGTTTAACTCTGCAATATTCAACTTGGAGCAGTTTATCAGCTTTATTCTTTATCTGACTTCTTTATCATTTAATGAAGCGCATTTCTTTGCTTGTGTCCCTGATAAAATCCCAGTTGAACATAAAATCCAATTTGCTTGTTATTAGTTAATCCACTAACAAATTTACCATCAGCAATAACCACGCAGCCATAAGGCAAATGGTGTCGGTCGTTTTTCTTCTGAATCCTTTGGAGTAAAGTTTTCTAGCTACGCTTTCGCTTGCAACAGTCGGGTTTGTACGTTTTGTAGACGATTTTAAAGTCGCACTGGGTGTTAATTTTCTTGTGGAAGGAAACGTCTTGTCGGAGAAGGTTGTTGAAGTTTCTGTTGGACTCCGCTCTGTGGGCTTGGAACATCCTGAAATATCCACGAAAAAGAAAATTTGTTAACTTCTAACAAGAGCTTCTATTGATCAACCAAAAAAGGATGCGAATGCAACAATGGTTCTTATTGGTCAGCTTGAAAGGTCTGTAGGTAGAACAAGAGCTCTGATAGGTCAAGCAAATAAGATGTGAAGAAAAGAAGAGCTTTGAGCGGTGAAATAAAACGTTTGGTGAATGGAACCAGAGCTCTGATTTATCAACCGAAAAGATGTGAATTTTAAGGGAGCTCTGATGGGACAACTGCCAGAGAAAGTCGAGGGACAAGATGTTTGAATGCCGCAAAAGTTCTTATTGGAACCGGAAATGTCATTTTTCTCTTCCAACTTGTTATTGAAGGATCCAATAAATATAATTGAAGAAACTCACCTTGATAAATCTGGCATAAGTAAATTTCTACTCTCATACAAATCTGCCCGAGTGGTGTCCAAGCCCTTGGAATAAAACGGAGGTAACGCGCGCCTAAGCGTCGCTTGAACATGTTCTTGTGAACTGTCACCTCGTCCAAGTTTCCTCGCAACGTCTAGGAGTCAAAAGCAAAAGTATAGTGAACTATCGTTTCAAAAACTAAGCTGTTCAATGGTTAACCGAAAGTCTATCACTTATGTGTTTGTTTCCTTTACGCCACACAGTGAGATTTTTTTTCAAACCTTACAATATCTACTCAACCAATCCTCAGTTACTGATGGCTGTTTGCCTGTAATTAATTTCCGAATTTTTCACCTGATATCCACTTTTAATTCTCTTAAATTTAGAGTAATTTCTATCTGTGTCATGTTTGGCAGGCACGACTATCCGCTGTCACAGTTTCTCAGAAGTGATTTTTTTTCCTCAGCTCAATTTTTTTTCTCATTCTCTTATTGAGATCCGTCAGCTACATTGCTGCGTTGCCTTAAGCTGATTTAACCCTTAACACACTAACACCAGCATGTGCACTCTCCATACTGCTCTGTATTAATTTCTTATAGTATCAACAAGGGGAGATAAAAGAATCCTTAGATAGCGATCATTTTACTTATTCTCATGACCTAAATGTTTGAGTCAGCCATGAAACTGTAATGAGAAATTAGATCCAACTAAGAAGGGACGAAGGGTTATTTAAGTCGTGATAAGTCAAAGCTGCCTAAAGTAACGGCGACTTCCGAATTTAGGCCTTACGTTAAAACACAGAATGCATCTCAGCATGTTCTAAAGATGCTTTTTAGACTTCTTACCATTGCTATTCCAGTTTCGTTGCTGTACGTTTGCCATTGTAAGCCGTCTGAACTATAATTTAGCGTGTATTCTGTTACCCAGGTCCCCATGCTAACAGATCCTTGTGTCGCAACGCCAGAGATGTTACGAAGTTCTTTCAAATCAACCTGAGAAAAGCGAGAATTCGTCATTTTCTTTAAAAAGTTATTTCAATCTACAAGTCGTCTGTTGTATCAGGTCTTACTAGCATTGTATCCATCTTCAGTTTTTTTCCCAGGACCCTTAGCATAACCAAGCATGAGGCGATTGGGAGTATTGATAGTCTCCTCAGGCCATAGAAGATTAACCTCAGCGAATTATTAGTTTCCACGACCGTTCACCATGCATTATGAATTACGACTGGTGACCTGCCATTTCCCGCGCCTAAAGCAGTTTGAAGTTACTTTGAATTCTCATTGGCTGTTTGAGATATTTTCGTTACATCTGATTGCTATTTTGGTTACTCTGGGTACGGTGTGATGACACTTAATTGAAAAATATTGTAACACAAAGATGTAGGTGTAATCTTACCCCTGGATGCAGTGTAAATAAGTCCATTTAATTAAACGATCCGACGCTTTACTTGGGCTTCAGCTTCACGCGTTTGCTGAGTACGCTTGATCTACGACAGGTAAAACCCACATTTCCCTTTTATCCTCGAGTCTTTTTATACCTTTGACCGCTGACAGCCCTTTCTCCCTATCCCTCTCTCAAAGATCTATGCACAAAATTCCCAATCGACAGGCCAAATTTTGTTACCTGGATATACTGCGTCGTGTCCACGTTCTGTGCACACCAGCTTCCCCAAAGAGCAGAGCCATTGACCTGCTTGAAAACGTTATTGAGGCGGCCTTGATGCGGGTGGTGCCCCTGAATAAAACTGGACGCTGTCACTTGTTTATCTGATATCTGGCCCCTTTCCATTCCGGCAGCAGCGTTGCAGTCTTTATATCCACCCTCTGTGGATGGATTAGTAGAGAAAGTAAATTATCTTAATGGCATAAGTAGGATTTTCAAGGAGAGTATAGTAGGCGAGCTCTAAGTACACCTGCAATTTGGAAGCATACCAGGTTGTTTAATTTACTGGGAATCACCAGTTTTTTTCTGATAAAGCTAAGGGGTGGCGAAGGGTTTCTAACACCAATAATGATATTTAGGTACTGGTATTTGGGAGCTCACCTGGTTAATTTTTTGCTGTAATCTATAATTTTAATTGACATAGCTACGGATTAAGGATTCCTGCACTAGCGTGTTACTGGTATCTAGGAACATTTTAGGCTACTTTATTACTAAAAATCATAATTTTTTTTTCCGCAACCGACAACAGTCCTTCTCAGGACTACACCCACCTGGACGATAAGACTACACTTAAGTTAAAGATGTTGGAAAGTTTCTTAAGAAAGTGTACATTGTTGATTCAGGCAATAATATAGGGACAAGCATAAACAAGAGAACTATCCAAAAGAACGCGACGCTGAAAAATGTAACCATCTGTAAAGCTGAGCTGCGAAAAACGCATAATGCGTGAGAAGGAAAAGTGGCAATGTAATTGAGAAACGTTTGATATTACCTTCTGTGTTGCAGCCATACATTTCAACTCTCATGCAAACGATGCCATATTCATTCCATTCCCGTACAAGTATTCTAATAAATCGTGCTATGATAGCCTTATCCAACTTGTTTGTCACTACTGAGCTGTCATCCTTGTTCCCGCGCAACCTCTAAGAGAATGAGAAATACAAACAATTTCATTAGAAAAGTAGAAGAATAATGAATTACATTTCTTTCTTTAGCTTCGAACAAGCTAACATTGACTAGGAATTCTTAAAAATAAATACTAAAAATTTCATCTATAGTTGCGTTTGATGTACCGTATCTTTGTCCATATTTTGGTATGTTTCCCAATTCATTCCATCACAACTGTAGTTTAAGGAGTACTTTTTGACCCAGTTTCCCGACGGATAATCCAATCCTTGGGTGGCCACAGCTGTTATGACACTTTCCTGTCCAAAATCAATTTGTAAATATGGAGTGCGATCCCAATCTGTCGCACACCAGCCACCGAAAGTTTGGCCATGAGGGCGCCTAAATCGGAGAGAAAGAGATCGGTAAAACTTGAGAGTTATCTCTAGTACTGGGTTTGTTAATAGATCTCTGCGGTGGCTACAATGAAAAGTCGTGAGGTATCAGCTTTTCAAGCAGAACTTTTTTCTCTACTTTTCAAAGCTCTTTTACCCCAAAAGTTTATGATCCAAGCCTTAATGTGTGCGGATTGGTCCCTTCAAGACCTTTAGGCCCTTCTAGGAGTTATTTCGAGTGGTGCTGTTTCTTGTGCATCACAAAGTGTCCTTAATGAATACGTCTGTGGATGAAACGATTACTGCTTTGTTTTTATTAACTGAGTTGATAATGTATCTTGGCCACCACAGTTGTAAAGAGTTTCTAAAACTGACGTTTCGATTGTTGAAAGCGTAGTATGTGATCATAGCTATTCCCCTTCAACCTCGTGGGTCATAATTTCATGTGGAACTATTTACTTATACTGCGCAAGCTGAAGAAGCTTTAATTTCAGTTTCGACAGTGTGTTACCATTCAAATGAAAGTCTTTGGGGCACACCTGTGTCGTGTTGTTGATTACACCTTATTTAGCGATGTCGACGAGTTCTCAGAGTGTGAGCTTTGTGACTCGTGACTCTTAGACCCCCCCTGGCGAGTTCTAAGTGTGTGTTAAACGTATGTCAGTTTTTCTTGAGTGTGATTCAAAAACTTGTGTCACTCAGCCCACCTCGTGTTCCAAAGTCTGCCGGCGAATGGCTGCGTCCACTCTGAGTATGAAGACGAGGCGGTTATTTGAGAGTCCCGGATGTCTCCTGTGATCATTCCCAAACCAAGACTGCAGTCTGTAAAAGAAGAAAACAACTTATCATCTAAAACATTTCAAAAGAAATCGTATCGGTTTTTCTTTAATTCGCTTTGTGATTGGCCCTGAAAACTTGCGCCACCCGCTCGACCAATCAGAAGCAAGACTGAAATCAATCACGACTTGGTCGCCCGCCTTTTCCCGCGCTTTTGACAGTTTGTTTGGTTGCTTCGCATTAGCTCTCAAAGGTATTTTCCTCTTCTCTGGTTGGTCGTTGTGATTGCTTTAAGACACATGTGCTCATCCAAGAAATAACGTTTTTCTTAAAGTCCATTACAAAAGTGCTGAATTTTCAAGGTCAACAAACGAAATTGAAACTATCAGCTGAATTTCCGATACGCCGGCTTTTGAGATAACCAAACCCGCGAGGTAATTTCATCTCACCACAAAACCATGAAATAAAATAGGAAAATATCAAATTCATGAACCAAATATAACTATTATATCAACATAAGTTTGTGTTTCAAGAACTCTTTCATCCGTCTGATACGTGATGGCAACTATTGATTTATGATTTAACTCGGCGGCAAGAGTCTCGTTCTATTGTAGGCGTGACTGAGAGAAACTATGACAAGTATTCTGACATTCCTTTGTTTGTTTAAGAATTAAAAAGAATGTCCCCACTCTGAGCGTTTGCAGGAGAAACTCTTGGTCTAGCGTTCAGTTCTTGTAACTACTTGGCGCAATTGTTTGATACAAGATTAAAAGTTTGACTTAAAAGCTTGACTTAAAAGCTGGTATCCGGGAAAGTGGATTCTCTGAAGTGTTTTAAATTAACGTGTGGAAAAAGTTTTTTGAAGCGTAGAAACATGCATGCATGTACATATTCTAGACCGTATTTATATTTATCTTATTTGTAATGGGTTATGGTAGAAATGTAGACGGACATTTTTTTATTTTTCAACTTTTGTGATTGGCTGTAGTAAAATTTTGATAATGCTTAGAGGGCCACCCGCTTGAAATAAATTCTTTATTATTATTATTATTATTACTTTGTCTTAATTTCTCCTTTTAAAAGTGTGTATTATGCCGACAGCTTGTTGCGTTTTATTTTACAGCAAATCAAAGTGAACATAAAAACTAAACAACTCTTTACAAGACTAGAAAACTAATTGTACAACGCTGGGTTTGCTTAATCATGTTCTGAACAACCAACCCTGACTTGAGAAGTAGATAAAAAGTTCTAAAAAAAAAACTGCCAGCATGATTTAGCTGACATTTTTTTCCACGATCCCATAAGCAAATAACTGAAAAATTGTTTTTAAACGGTTAAAATGAACGCTTCTGTCACTGAATAAATTGCTCTGGCTGAGGTAACTGATATGGTCCTTTATTGCATCCACTTTGATCAGACATCTCACTCAATTTGTGAAAAATTTTGTTCAAGAGCCAAAGAGCAGTTTTCTTTTCATCTTCAAAAAATATCGAAGGCTATAAGTTAGTAACAGGAGGAAACGTCTTCTCAAATCACATGCACTAGTGTTTGTGTTTCCTAAATAGAAACCTTTCTGATTGTGTTATATATATCTGTTGAAAAACAGAAAAACTATCTTAACTTGCCAGCATAAGTTAGAAGGAACTAATCGAACTCTCTGAAATTCCTCTAGCATCACTTTAAATCATAAGTATTCCATATGGCTGAGTATAATTTTTCGATCCTTTCGCCAAATTAGAAGAGAATCCCATAAAAACCTACCATGCCCGCACACAGTGAGTGTTATGATTACCAAAAAAAACTGTATTTCACGTGGTCGGATTCAAATTCCCGTGGTGTTTATAAAATCACCCATGATTGAGATCATCATAAAAGATACACTTAACCCTTTCACTCCCAAGATCTAATTAGTAATTCTCCTTACTATCTGCCTTCAATTCTTATGATGTTAGTTCAGAGAATTTGGTATTGGATCAACTAATAATCCCATAATTGATATTCTTCTCTATTCTTATCACCTGCCTGCTTGATATTGTATTGATATTGTAAAGAGAAATTCTGTCTTGGTCACTTGTGGGAGTGAAAGAGTTAAGTATTTGAATTCCGTGACCTGCTTAGGCTGCGCTGCTCTCTTTTACGCTGACAGTCGTTGACAGTAATTAATAATCATTAATCTTGCTGTTTGACAGCCAATCTTGAGGTAATTTCCGGGGCATTTTAACGCCTGCCTGCCGAACGAACATGCAATGCCTCGTTTTACACATCATTAATCATGTGGAGATTTCAGGAGAAGAGCCGCCCAACGAATTCGACGCTTATCTCTCAAATTCAGAAGGCCTTTTCAGACTTGATGATATGTATGTGTTTCGTTCAGAAAAATGATTAAATCTGAATAGTGAAAACTCAAAAAGCAAGTCAAATAGTTTACTGAGGTTACTTTTTCTGTTGCCCTTTGTTTATATATATATGCAATTGTCTTTACAATAAATGCCGAAATTCAATGTTTCCGACTCTGAGTGTACTTCTCTAAAGCATTTCAAAGTCATGTGTTTGCCCTTCTGATTCAACAGCTATAGCACTCGTTTAGCGGATATACTTAAAAAACGCGCTAAAATTCTGAGAGTTCTAAGTAGAATATAGCATTTTCTAGTTGACAACTAGATTAGTTTCTGAGATCCTCTAACGAGGTGGTTAATCTTTTTGTAATCCTCATTCGTTAGCAGGGGAAGTCGCTTGTTTGAAGTTGTTATCCTGAATCAACTTTCGGGTAGAAAAACTCCACTTAGACATGAAACATACTCGAACATAAACCTCGAAGCTAACTCAATATAAGTTTTCTAACAACCCTATCTCAGTTTTAGACGATTATGCCGGTGCTTCTTTCTCGCTATGAGAGAGGAAACAGTTCAAAGTTTTATTGGCTAATGTAGAAGTCGCAACAATTTTGAAACAGTGAAATAGAGTCAGATGAATGAATTCCTATCAATACCTTACAGATTCAAGTTAGAATTTCGCAAGCACGTTTTCAGCTGTGTTTATACATGAACGTGTGTCGATAAGTTTGGCACTAGGTATCAAATAGCTGAATCAATGAAAACAACTGTGTTTAAATGTTATCTCTGACTGTAACTGAAATTCATCTTTGCATCTTTTTACATGGAGGATCACGAAAAGATTTTTCTCGTTCGAATCACTGAAGTAGCCGAATATAATGTTAGGCACGCTCAGAGCTATGGACCTTCCACAGTCACATAACCATTCGCTGAAAAAGTGAATTTACTTACCAGATCGTACGTAACGAATGAACCACAGAACGAAAGCCACAATTAAAGCGGTTGAGGTATTCATCTTTTCTTTTTTCATCAGTCTAGTAAACGAACTAAAGCTGTTTATCGTACCAAAGAAGAATCAAAAAAGAGCAAGCAGTCTGGATCTTGTTGTTCGGCCGCTATGTAACAATACCCCACTGGTCGGACAAATAAGAAGATCATTAATCTTCGATAATTACCGTCCTGTCATAATGGTATGCATGCTATAGTTTCGATTTCCTGATATCTTCTTTTACCAGTCCGAAAAGTGCTTAAAATCATAAATCAAACTTTGACGAAGAAGACTCTAATATTTCAGTTTTGAATTCATTAAAACAGCTTAGAGAACATGATGTTCTAGAGATATCTCTGCCGACCTTTGCCATCAAAAGAGAGAGATTACTTTATTTGTTGTTAGAGCATATTTCCCCCTAAACATGTCCATGTGCATTGGAATGACAAAGTGAACTTCGGAAATCCTTTGTACCAAATGATTTACTGTTTCATGTGCTCTATGTGTAGTTTTTGACCGTTCCCTGGGTTTCAAAAAACTTGGCCGATAAATTCTCCTATCGCCATGTTTATTCTCTATTTGCCTTTCCATCTCGCTAAATTTTCCTGTCTGTTTTGTTAAGATTACTGTGTCTTGTGGCACGTTCGTCAAATTGCGCCTGAGAAATAATGATTGACCGTGAGTTCTAACCTTATCTATTCATTTTATTCAACATTCATTGTTTGTAGTTTTCCGACTATTTGTGAAGGAGTATAAAGAATTTAAGAATGCTACGGTTTTCTGCTGACAGTAAGAGAGATCTCCGGTCTGAGTGAGACTGGATCAATCATCTGTTGATAAATTTGCTTAGAGGGTCTCCATGGGGTTAACAATGAGCCGTAAAACGGCGAAAAAAAGTTAGCCATAAAAATTGACAATGTTAACCGTTAATCGTAAAATAAGTTAACCGAAGGAAAAGAGGATGAAATCTCTAACATGACACTCCCAGAGGTAGGTTAGGAAAACATTGTTGAGTAGTATCAAGGGAGAAAACTATTTTAAGAGCGCACCACTCTTAGAGAAAGGCACCAAGGACTCTCGACCTGTCTTTTTCAGTCTTCTTTAATCTCTATTCTCTAATACAATCTTACTTACATCAAATTCGCTTCACTCTGAGTAACTCTGAAGGACTGACACTGACCCCTTCGATCTCTCAATGACTCCTGAGTAAACTCTAAAGTAAACACTTATACATTCGCTATCGGTAGGCATGAGTGGGCATGCTGGCCAACTGACCTTGGAAGATTAAACAGTTATTGTCAGAACACTAACCCAAACACTTTTACAAGACTCACACAAATGAACTACAACGTGCTTAATGCTTCCGATTAACCGAATCATTCTTTGACCACATAGTCAAGATAAAGACTTTAGTGTGGGTCTTAGACAACGTCCGTAGATGAACTAAGCAGAATCACTGTCGCAATTAGGAAACTCATCGCGATAGCTCACACTCAATGCAAATAATTTCGGACTTTGAATTTAACTAAATGTAAACAAATGGCTCAATCATACTTAACCAAATAAATACTTCATAACAATACGGAGAACATGAAAAAGAAAATCATCATATCGGTTGCAAAGTTCGCCTGGTCATTCCGAGGTGGATAAACATGCTCAAGCGAAAATAATTTTAATGACAAAAAGACGGGATTCACTTTTGATGGTAGAGGTCAGCAGAGTTACCCCAACTACACGATTTTCTTTTAGCTGTCCTCACCCTTACACCTTAATATCAGTATGTATATTCTCTATACCGTTCTCTTTACATTTCCTAAGGTGCTGATAAGGAGAATCTGTTTCACAATCAAGAGCTTTTTAAGTGGGTGATCAATTCCTTGATTCTCGTGACTTTAATGTGTAATTCAGGGGTTATATTGTTTGGAGAAATTAGATGTTAGTCACTCTTAGGGGTTAAAGGGTTATTAAAATTAAAAACTGATATAGCATTGATAAAAAAAAAACTGCCCCTTGCCACACAATGCCAGTCTCGCACTCTTATCGGCTTAATTTCACGTTCCAACGACCTCTGGCAGTAGTGTCCCAACACAAATACACCCGACAGTCAGTACTGAAGTATTGACGTTGTGATGCTCACTGTAATTAAAAGTGCTTCTTTGAGTGTGTTTGATAGAGTATTATAACTCCTAAGTACTTGAAATCAAAAAGACACCTTAACCCTTTAATTCATAAAAGTGACTAGAATCAAATTTCTCTTAACAGTATCACCCCTGAATCAAACATTAAGGAAATGAGAATATAGGAAATGATCGCCGACTTTAAAAGCTCTTGAATGGCGAATTCTCTTTGTTGGTGCCATAGAAATGTTTAGATGATAGCGTGTAAAATTTTTATATGAATTTTAAGGTGAAAAGGGTTAATCTGGATACGAAAATACTTGTAAGAAGATACAGTATGTCATGTAAAAAAATTGAATCTGAGAAAGAGTCACTGATCCCACCTCGAACATTTTACCATTGCTCATACTACCTCAGGAATTATTGGCTTTAAAATGAAACTGTTACTTTATCTGAGAGTGCACGTTTACAATGAAGGTTAATAATAAAATCTTAATTTGATTCCCACATTATCGCAGTTCGAAAGTGGTAATTCAATTTAATTAACGTATTTGTTATTGTTAAAATTTCTTATCTTTTCAGCTTGGCGTTATGTTGACTTGGCAGACCCTGTACATCAGAGATAGCCGCAAACTTGATTCGGGCGTCAGTTCGTCGTCAGACTATACGTACTATTTCCTACATGCATACAATAATGTGATCAACTTCGAAAGAAATTTGTGGCAGTACTTATACAAAAACCCCTTCAAAATCAATTTATAAGTCAAACCTAAAAATAGTCACAGTCACTATGCCTTTAACTATGAAGTTTGTCGTAGGGATTTCACCATCCCCTCCCCTCCAAAAAACGAGGGACAGCAGAGAGCTTGACCGACAGGCAACCCTGCATGAAGACGAATTAAAGCGGAAGTGTTTTTGCTCGTTGTAACATTCCGTGTGTTCTTACAAAATTAAGTTGGGAATGTTTATCTATATTTTGGGGTATTTTTAATAAAACAATTATTACACTCACGCTCGATGGATATGAAATGATTATAGCCAAGTCGGCTCTATGGGCCTCGTTGGCTATCTAACATCTCATATCCAACGCGCGTTCGTGGAAAAATTGTTTAGTAAATGGTTAAGTTTTCAGCCCTCAACTTTCGGTCTTAAAAAAAGTAATAGCTTTTGAATGCTTTGTATAGATTTGAATAAGAGGTGCTATATTTAGGGAAATACGGAAGTGTTTTGATTATTTACCAAACATAAAAGACAATAGAAAAGTTCATATTGGATTTGAAAGCGTCATTTGATAGGAAAGAAGTATTCTCAGTCGCCGAGAGATCGGAATAAATAAACAAACAGAAAAGATAGGGAAATTTTGAACACATTGATCTGAAGGTTTATAAAATTTTACCATTTCAATAGCCTGGTACAAATCAGTGAGAGCATAAATACAGTAGCAATAGAAGACTTTTTAAGTGTGTCAGTGAGGTGAAATCTTACACGGATTTTATGGTAGAAGGTTCTTTTGTTCCGAATGGCAGTTTATTATGAGTAACTAAAACGGCAAATCTGCCGCGTTTATTTTACTACCAAAGACACAATTTTTTTACGAATTCTGGAAGAGAAAAGAGTGAGTTTTTACAGTATTACTGAAAATCTAGCGCTGTTTCCTATACCTTCGTTGTTGATAATGACATAATTTTTTGATCATATCTCTTTGGTACCCCCCTAAAGCTGAGTCAGTTTTGCCTGTACTGGCTGAGCTTCCGTTACAAGAGGAGAGAACGGGCTGTTATGTACACTTTAACCACCATGACTTCGGATCTTTTTTCTTTAGGAACTCAGTAACTAATGAACTGATAATACACCGTAAGGAAAAAGACACCGAATGCGGATCACTTAACGGATTTAAGACAGACATGGAGGAAATCCTGACACTTTGGAAACCGCAAATTAACTAATAATGAAGCACAAATGTCTCAAACTGAACAAATGAAAAAGCAAATTGCAAGTTGAAATGTGACAGTGATGCTGAACTTGCCACGACAGGTTTCTAGGGAGTATAAATTGAGAAAATAGGTCCTTTTAGGCTACTTTTTTTTCGGTATTACGAGCGAGGATTGAGAGAAAGGTTTGAACAGAAAAGGGTTTTTTTGCGACTTTCTTTTGACATGTCGTAAAACGTTTTCGCCTAAAGCTCTCGTTCAATATCGAGAGACTGCCAGTAGTTTTGAACAATAACTTTTTAAGACAAAAAATACTCCAACTACCATTTTTTTAAAGGCATATTTGTATGTGGTATGTGTCCATTTACTCATGTAACAAACGAATTTTCCTGTGATCTTTTTTTACTTACTAAACCAGGTTACAGTAGGTGAGAATACATAATGGGAGAGTTCCATCGATCCCACAACCACCATTTCTCATTTCCGAAATTTTCCCGAATTTACCTGGGCCCACATTGCAATCTGAGAGCGTAAGTGGTTATTCTTTGATGTTGTATCACAGGTCATGGTAGGGCATTCCGCCAAATTATCCATGAGTTAACGGCAGAAGCTATCAAAACCGCTAAACACTTATGACGTGAACCGTGTTTGCGAATTTCCTTCGTGGGCGGAAACAAGTTCTTCACACCACGCCATTCCATTGGTGCGGGTGTCCTCAAGGTTTACCACTGAGACTCGTTGAAAGATAGACGAAGGTGTGACCATATGGTCGACATTAAAATTGACACACATGTCGCAGAAAGACCTCGCGCTCTAAAGATTCGAAAAAGAAAGAAGACAATTTTCTGATGAAATTTAAATTTAAGAGATTTGACTTACAGCTTACTGTGTTTTACCAGGAGGAAATACTTTGTTCGCTCTCAGATCTGGTACAAAAAATAAAGTAAAAGACATTCATTTTACCTTTGCATCTTTCATTCTTAGCGTATCTTTCCTTATCAATAACAAAAACCGATGTATTTTTATCCATGTTTATATGATTGATGATTTAACCTCTCTGTGCCTATTAATGCAGACAGTCTGGCTTT